AGAAGGACCAAATCACCCCCACTTGATCTTCCTTCTTCATGAGCTTCATGTGGCCTGTGAGTTGAATCTTGAATATTTCAAGGTTCTCGGGTAATATCCAATAATCAGTGAGTGAATACCATGTGTGTTCTTTTGTGATTGGCTTACCTCACTCAGGATGATATTTTCTAGTTCCATCCATTTACCTAGGAATTCATTGTTTTTAATAGCTGAGTAATACTCCAGTGTGTAAATATACCACATTTTTTTTTATCCATTCCTCAGTTGAAGGACATCTGGGTTCTTTCCAGCTTCTGGCTATTATAAATAAGGCTGCTACGAACATAGTTGAGCATATGTCCTTGTTATATGTTAGAACATCTTCTGGGTATATGCCCAGGAGTGGTATAGCTGGATCCTCAGAGAAAGCTATGTCTAATTTTCTGAGGAACCGCCAGACTGATTTCCAAAGTGGTTGCACCATCTTGCAGTCCCACCAACAATAGAAAAGTGTTCCTCTTTCTCCACACCCTCGCCAGCATCTACTATCACCTGAGTTTTTAATCTTAGCCATTCTGACTGGTGTGAGATGGAATCTCAGGGTTGTTTTGATTTGCATTTCCCTGATGACTAAGGATACTGAACATTTCTTTAGGTGCTTCTTGGCCATTTGAGTTTCCTCAGTTGAAGATTCTTTGTTCTCTTGCTCTCCTGCTCTTTTGCTTCTAGCTTCTCTGTCCCCTCACCCCTCTCCCCTTCCCTTCCTCCACTCTCCACATGGTCATGGCCTCTACTTCTCCACTTCTCTCCTCTCTCTCTCTCTCCTTTTCCTCCATCATCTTCTCCCGTTTCTCTCCCCACTTTTGCCCTCTGAATAAACCCTCTCCCCTTTGGGAAAAAAATAAAAAAGAAAATTCTTTGTTAAGCGCTATACCCCATTTTTTTAATAGGGTTATTTGGTTGTCTGGAGTAGATTGCTTTTGGCAAGATGGTCATTTTTACTATATTAATCCTGCCAATCCATGAGCGCGGGAGATCTTTCCATCTTCTGAGATCTTTGATTTCTTTCTTCAGAGACTTGAAGTTCTTGTCATACAAATTTTTCACTTGCTTGGTTCGGATTCACACTAAGGTATTTTATATTATTTGTGACTATTGTGAAGGGTGTCATTTCCCTAATTTCTTTTTCAGCCTGTTTATCTTTCATGGAGAAGGAGGCCACTGATTTGTTTGAGTTGATTTTATAACCAGCCACTTTGCTGAAATTGTTTATCAGGTTTAGGAGTTCTCTGGTGGAAGTTTTGGGGTCACTTAAGTATACTATCATATCATCTGCAAATAGTGATATTTTCACTTCTTCCTTTCCTATTTGTATCCCTTTGACTTCTTTTTGTTGTTTGCTCTGGCTAGGACTTCCAGTACTATATTGAATAGGTAGGGGGAGAGTGGGCAGCCTTGTCTAGTCCCTGATCTTAGTGGGATTGCTTCAAGTTTCTCTCCATTTAGCTTGATGTTGGCTACTGGTTTGCTGTATATTGGTTTTACTATGTGTAGGTAGGGGCCTTGAATTCCTGATCTTTCCAAGACTTTTATCATGAAGGGATGTTGAATTTTGTCAAATGCTTTCTCAGCATCTAGTGAGACGATCATGTGGTTTTTTTCTTTGAGTTTGTTTATATAGTGGATTACATTGATGGATTTCCAAATATTGAACCATCCCTGCATTCCTGAGATAAAGCCTACTTGATCATGATGGATGATTGTTTTGATGTGTTCTTGGATTCTGTTTGCTAGAATTTTATTGAGCATTTTTGCATTGATGTTCATAAGGGAGATTAGTCTGAAGTTCTCTTCCTTTGTTGGGATTGGCTGTTCTTATCTGGACATGTAATACACCTCCAGCTATTCTAAATATCCTTTTATTACTGGAATCCAAAATTTATGTTATGTGTTCTAGTATTTTGTTTATATTTATATTACTTCTGTATATATAGATTTACAGCTTTCATTAAATCTGGAACTTTTTAATCATGTCTTCATGTATTAATTATTTTTTTCAGGTATTTTTTTCTGCATTTGTGTCTCAAATGTTTATTAGATGGTATCACATCATCCAATAGAATTATTTTTATTTATTTATTTTTTTACATTTCCAGTCTTTTTCTGTTTGTCTTCATGCAGGAGTTTATATGCTTTTCAGGGAATTTTTTCTTGTAGCTCCTAAATGGCAAATGATTCCATTCAGAGTTATTTTCCACTTCTAATATGATTTCTTATTTCAAGAACCTTGATTTTTATAACCTATCTTCTATTTCTCCCCATTAAATTGTTTGCCTTGACATTCTTCACTTGATCTTAGCCAAAAGGCAGAGAAGCAATTGCCTTGACATTCTTTTTTTTTTTTTGTTGTTATTGTTTGTTTTTCCAGACAGAGTTTCTCTGTGTAGCCCTGGTTGTCCTGGAACTCACTCTGTAGACAAGGTTGGCCTCAAACTCAGAAATTTGCCTGCCTCTGCCTCCCAAGTGCTAGGATTAAAGGTATGCACCACCACTGCCTGGATTGCCTTGACATTCTTATAAAATTTTATTCCATATTATATTTTTTGAGTCTGTATGCCCCTGTGCAGGTGGTGAATCTGCTACAACAGGCTGTGGAGCTCAGAACAACTTTGTCACTCAGCCCTCTCTTTCCACCTTTACTCATGTTCCATTAAAGAGGACTAGCTTTTGTTTTAGCATACAGTTGTTACTTAGAGATTAGTCTGATCCTTCCAAACTACTTTTAAATTTTGTTGAGGTCTATTAGGACTCACTTAGCTCAAGTATTAAGACACAAGTCCCCACTGTTCTGTATCCTTTGTGCTATTACTGTAGCCAGAAGAAACATCAACTATTCCTAGCCCTGTCTTTCAGGCATCATTTGGCATGTAACTTTTTGGGGGTTGTCTTAGAGATAAGCATTTTCTTCCACATCCATGCAGATTGGTTTCTGTCCAGGCCAATGACTTGAGGCCCTCCTCAAGTTCTCTGTACCTTTTATTTTCTGGACAGTATCTTCTTTTCTGAGGTTCTGTCTCATAACTGTTATAAATAACTGCATCAAGCTTTTCCTCTCTAAACTTTCCTTTTAATTTCTCAGTTCAGCAAATCTCCTGGGATCTGTTCAGATTAGCCTTCTCTATTTCAGAAGCCAATTTTCAACAGTGGGCTAGGGCTCACTTCAGTCCTACTCCTTTCAGGGATTACAGTCCCATATTCTCAATGTCCACGATCTAGAAACAGTTTGCACTTAGTTCATCAGCCTTGCAGTGCCTTATGATGAGAAAGGTACTTTCTATAGTAGTTAATTCTTCAGAGCCAAATACAGAAGGATCCTAATGGGTGTGTGTGTGTGTATGTATGTGTGTGCATGCATGCATGTTTATGATTTTACAAAAGCTAGGTCAAGAGCAGAAATACAGTTCAGTTGTTATAAGTGTTTGCCTAACATTCACAAAGCCCAAGGGTCGCTCCTCAGCACTGTACAAACTAGTTGTGATGATAATATAATTCCAGCAGTTAGGAGGTAGAAGTGGGAGGATCAGAAGGTCCAGGTGAACTGGCCACAAGACTTTGAGGCTAGCCCAGGTTACATTTTGACCCTGTCTCAAACCAACAACACCAGAAAAAGGCTATGTCAGAATAGAAGTAACCCTTACCTTTGTAGACTTCTCTAGTGGTTGATCATGGTGTGCCTGCTGCATAACATCACTCACTATCATTTTTGCAATCTTCCAAGCTAGCTCTTCTTGGGCCTGAAAGAAGTAATTCAAACTGTTGATAATAACCATTAGTCAGGAGGATCAAAATACATATAGCTGGACATCTAACCATGCTTACCAATAGATAAAAAGCACCTTCCAATATGTCCAAGAATCTGGGTACCTCTGACTATGATATATAAATATGACATTCAGTGTCTTTCAGGGTCAGCTACCGAGTAAGTAGCCAACATCACAACTACTTTCTATGTTTGATGGTCAGACAGAACACTTTTTTTTTTTTTTGACTCTCATCTCTCAATGTACTTAACCAATCCAAAGCAAGCTTCCTCAACCGAAAATGACAAGAAAGCATCTCAACTTTTGTCTCTGCACTCATGACCTGGTGCAGTTATGGAAACCTGAGCCTAGGTTTGTATCATAAATTATGTGGCCATAGTCTCTGGATTGACGATACTTTTACTGTTCACACCAAGCATTGACTAAATGTAAAAGAGCGTTTCTTGTTACAACCAGGGTACAAGAACACGGATATGGTCTGCATTATAAGGAAACCAAAAGAGGAGAACATGGAGCCTTCCTTAGACAAGGGCAGGACTTTTGCTTCTATGAGAATTTCCTAAAGACATACCTCATCAGTATTTCCTTGAACCCACTTCTTCATAGCTTGTGAGAACATGAATCCTAGTAAACAAAGCCAAAATGAATATGGAATTCAAGTGTAATCTTACATTACACATGTTTTTAGGAGATGCCACTTATACATGCATTGCTTTTATAACAGAGTGTTTTTAACTTTGTGAAAACTGTGATTTAAAAATGCTTCTGAAGAGCTGTTTCAGGTCTGGAGTTTTCTTCTACTTTTCTTATCAGATGAAGAGGCTAATGTTAGTCTTGTAGTAAACATTGAAAACAAACAAACAAACAAACACCTTAATCAACATAATGTTTTGGTGTAAGAATCTACCAACACATCAGGAGACTGACAGAAGGATTTGTTTTCCTCTTCAGTTTAAAGGATTCCTTCAAATATTTCTTTTCTTTAAATAAACATTTTATGTATTCATTTATTTTTAAAGAAAGGAAATATCCTTCCTTCCTTCCTTCCTTCCTTCCTTCCTTCCTTCCTTCCTTCCTTCCTTCCTTTCATTGATTGATTGGGGTTGGTGGGAAAGTGTAAGTGTAGAGATCAGAGGACAACTTAGAGAAATGGTTCTTTCCTTCAGCACATGTGACCTGAGAACTGAACAAAGGGTGTCACGTTTGGCACAAATGCCTTCATTCCCTGAACCATCTCTTAAGCCCCAGTAGATTAATTCTTAAGATTCATTAACACAGATGAGCCCAGACATAGCATTACGAAAAATACAAAATCCAGATCTTTTTCCTTCAATACTTTTTATCGTTGAAGGTTTTTCTTAGAAGAAAAAAATTGCTAGGCAGTGGTGGTACACAGCTTTAACCTCAGCACTTGGCTGAGGCAGATAAGTTTGAGTTTAAGGCTGGCCTGGTCTATATACACAGTGACATCCAAGAGCTACAAAAGAAAGACCCTGTCTCAAAAACAACAACAACAAAAAAAAAACCAAAAAAACAAAAAACAAAAAACAAAAAAAACAAAAAAAAAACCCCAAAACACCAACAACAACAAAAAAAAAGATTTACTTATTTGTTATTATTTGTCTGTGCATGTGAGTGAAGAATTTCATTGAAGCCAGAAGCACTGGATCCCCTGGAGATGGAGTTATAGGCGGTTTTGAACCACCACGTGTGGATGCTGGAAGCCAGATTCCAGTCTTCCACAGGCAGCAAGAACTCTTAAGAGTACTATCTCTAGTACTCACTTTAAGGTTTTAAATACTAGTCTGATCCTCAGTTATTGCCTAGCAGAGGCAATAAGGCCACAATACTAAATTCTCACACAGCTGCTGAATTACATAGGTCCTACTCGACTCTCCTGTTAGGCTGATTTGCAGACATATGCAGTGAGTAGTCCCCTTCGCTGACACTTTCCAGTACCCATCCTACCACTTCTTCAGGATAATACTGCCAACCTCTTTTATTAATCTATTTTCTTTGATGTATCTCATCCCTTCCCATGGCTTTAAACTTCCTATATGCCAACAAAGAAGAACCTCCTCTGTTTGCCACAAATCTATACTTCTAAATGATCTAATAGGCATTTCAGATGTAATATACTCTAACAAAGCTTATGTGCCTCCCACTCAACCTTATTTGTTTCTCCTCTACTGTCTCTCTTTTATTTAATCCCACGATAAGATCCTTGTCTAGTATGTAGGAGCCTTTGACTTCAATGCAGTAATATTAGCCAGAAACAAACAACACAAACACCTTCTTCATTCACATATGAAATCTGCCACCAAACTTCACCTGAGATTGCAACCTCTCGACTGAACCTTGTCTAGACTCTTCCTTATAATCCTTATCTCATTCAAACCCCATCCCAGTCTGCAGACTGGTCATCTTCTTGACAGCTACCTCTCTTCCAGCACTATTTCCTTCAATTTTACCACCAGAGAAAGGATCCCAGTCATCAGTCAGCTCTGAAACTCAGCACCTACTAGTTACTAGTTGAATCTCCTTAACGAGCCATGGAAGGGCTCTCCCAAGACAGACGTAAGAGGGGCCCGTGAAGGTATACACGCTCACATCTTTTTGTAATTCTTTCTTGTTATTATTTCAAGATTAGTGTTGGTGTTGTTTTGAGACAGGCTTTCTCTGTGTGGTGCTGGCTATCTTGGAACTTGCTTTGTAGACAAGCCTGGCCTTGAGCTCAGAGAACCATCTGCTTCTGCCTCCTAAGTACTAGGACTACAGGTATGAGCCACCATATCTAGCTATTATTTTCTTTTTTTAAAAAAATAATTATTTATTTTATGCATATGACTACACTGTTATTGTCTTCAGACACACCAGAAGAGGGCACTGAATCACATTACAGATGGTTGTGAGTCACCATGTGGTTGCTGGAATTTGAACTCAGGACCTCTGAAAGAGCAGTCAGTGCTCTTAACCACTGAGCCATCTCTCCAGCCCATATCTAGCTATTTTTATTATTTTTAAATTGTGTGTGTGTGTGTCCACAGAAGTGTCAGATCTCCTGGAGCTGGAGTTAGAGATGGTTGTGAGACACCTGCCTTTGAATGCTGGGAACCAAACTTGAGTTCTCTACAAGGGCAGAAAGTGTCCTTCTAAGCCATCTCCCTAGCCACTTGCTATTTTTTAAAAATATAACTTCTCAACTTACTTTGTTTTCCCTGAAACAGAAGTTCACATAGTCTCACAAACCTCCAAGATATACACAAACCTTTTTTAAAAATTAAAAACATCCTTTATCACTAATTATTATTAATGTTATTACTACCACTACCACTGGGGGGCACAAATGTTCTATGATCCAAGTATAGAGCTCAGAGAGCAGTTTTTTGGAGCTAGCGTGCATTCGGGGGATTGAATTCAGCCTGCCACAGCAAGCATCTTTACTCACTGAGACAAGTTGCTAGAGACTTTCTCAAAACTGAATATTTTTCTCTGTGCTCTCACAAGGTCTTTTGCTATGTGCTGTAATGCTAAATACTAGCCTCCAAGGCCTGGTTGCCCCTGGAGAATTGGCACATAGACTCAAGTGACACAGTGTAACCTTGTCCCCTAAGTTATCCCTGATTGATGAATAAAATTGCCTACAATCTATAGCTGGGAAGAAGAGAGATAAGCAGAGGTTTTGCTTTCGGGGTTGGGGTCAGAGGCAAGAGACCACCAGAGGAGAGAGAGAGAAAATGAAGAGAGGACAAGATGACATGGGGCAGGAATCATGAAAACATGGCCATGAGGGCTGGCCAACTGGAGTTAAGAGTTGCCCAGAGGGAACATGACAAGTTCTAACTCAGGGTTATTGATAACGAAGTAAATTCTAATAGCTTAGAGGGTAGCTAACTGACTAGCTCTAGTGCTATAAAGTCTTATTATAAATATAAAGGCTGTGTGTCTTTTATCTGGAAACTGAATAATCAAAGGCGGGACAAACCCTTGATTGAGATTAAACATTTACTACAACAGTGGTCTGTTCACCAGGGTTTCAAAAGCCAAATCAGAACTGCTGGCCTATAAATGACAAAAACTCAAAGGGAGTTGAACTATAAACTCTTGCCGAAGATATTCTGAGCCAAAACCCTAGAGATGCTATTTGTGAAGATCATGTTAACTGTGAAACCTGGCTGAACCTAGAATTCAAGGGAAGTCCTGCCCAGTGAGGGGAGGGGGGTACCACTCTCTGGCTGGGGTTCTGGACTGTACAAATGAGGAAAGGGAATTGAGTAACTGCATGTGCCATCCTTCAGGCTCCTGGCTGTGGATCTGAGGTGGCCAGATGCTCCAAGCTCCTGCCTCGAGCTCCTTGCCACGATGGACTGTACCCTTGCTTGGGAGAAGAATAAGCTCTTTCTTCCTTTAGTTGTTTTTGATAGATTACTTTATGATAAGACAACAAACCATTAATCTGCTGTGATCACTAAAACCACAGCCTCCTGAGTTTCCAGTTTCTTCATTTATAGGAGTAAGCATATATACAGATACATCATCTAAACTCTATGAGCTTAAAAATTCTAGAAAGTATCCACTATTCAAGTCTGAGCAGGGAGGAAGGACTTCTTTCTGTAATCAAAAAGGCTATGCAGATGAGAAAACTTACTTATCTGTGCAAAAGGCAACCTAGTTTTAAAAAATGACTTTGTTTTGAAATAAATATACCTTCTAATTTTATCACTCAAATAATTACCAATTAAAATTTAAAATTAATTTGCCAACAAATGTTGATTAATATCTGCTGCACACAATTTTAGAAACAAGGAATATATTGCCAAATAAAGGTTAAGACAAGACCACTGAATTCTCAGTGCTGATGCTGTAGTTACACAGGAGTAAGTATACAACAGTAAGCTGATGGCTTGTGCAGGCAAGGAAAGCTTTTTGAAGAGAGAAAAGTGAGATGAGGAGGAGCCAATCACTGCACACAGTCCACAGCAGGGCAACTACAAAAGGCTGCATGAAGGCAGAAACATCAGAACTGCAAAGGACAGCTCATTTAGAGCTTGGCTTGTGAAAAAAGGAATAGTTCAAAGTAGAAGCCAGAAGAGGGTAGTCATGGGTTACAACAGAAAGGACAGACAAACTTTATTTCAAGTGCAGTAGGTTGCCCCAGGAAGGAATAAGTGGATGATGAAGCAGTAAAATGTGCACAGATACCTCAACCATGCTGCATTCTCTAGTTCAGTCTTCAGTGATTGCTTCACAGTGGAGATAAGGGGGATGATGTGTAAAATTGCATGCCCCTCCACTTTGCATGCTTAATTGCTACTCAACTTCCTGAAGATCTTTTCAAGTGGTATTTTAATATATAATTTCAATATTATGGAGAGGCTCAAATTTTGGCCTGGAACTCACCACTGTAGACCAGGCTGGCCTCAAACTCAATCAATCCACCTACCTTTGCCTCTGCTGCCCAAATGTTGGGATTAAAGGAGTGTGCCACCATACCAACATGGAGAGTCTTTGAACAATACCATATATAAACATTTCCTACCAAATGTATAATTTCCAGTACAAGAAATAACAAGGAGAATATACTGAGTAGCATGGAGGTGGAGAATTCTGGGATTAGCCTGATATGTTTAACAGGTCAGAGGCCTAAGAAAGGAAACAAGACAAGAAAACCTGACAGACGACATTCTTTTATTTATAGCTCTGGCATTTAGTATAATGTTTAGTATTCAAGATGACTGAAGTATTTTCTGAGTGTAACACAATCAATCTGTATGCTCCTGTATCCCCAAAGCATAAGTGACTTAAAGAGCCATCTTGACAACCAAAGGAAGTAGCAGTGGAAACTCTCATGTATACACATATACAGTTTGTTGTACATATAAACTGCCTAATTTCCTAGTCATCATTTCATGTAATATATTTTGATTAAAAATTCAAGTAACCAGACGGAGAGTTGGATCAGAGGTTACAAGCACTTGTTGCTCTTGCAGAGGACCTGAGTTCAGTTCTCAGCACCACATGGTAGTTCACAATCATCTGGAATTCCAATTTCAAACCTCACAACTCTGTTCTGCCCTCCATACTTACCAGGCATGCACATGGTACATATACACACATGTGCAAATTCTAACAAACCAAAACCCATAAATACCTTAATGGATGTAACTGCTGGCAGAGATGTAATCTTGTTACCTGTTTTTCTACTATAACACAAGTCAAACTGCTCTTCTACTATGTGTCTAACTCATAAGCACCACCACTCATGGCTTAGGTGCTGGCAAGATGCCTTTCTACTTCTCTTCAACTGCTATGTTCTATTTCCAAAATGTTGCAGAATATTTTATCACACTGTGAGATTGTGCTGTTTACTGGGAAAAACAAAACAAACAAACAAACAAACAAAAACCCTGTTTCTAGTTGTATGAGGCTCAGGTCTTGGCACATATTTTTACATCCCCTGGCTGGAATACAGACACACCCTTAGTACATACTTTTAATCCCAAAGAATGAAAGTAAGTTCATTTGTAGAGGGAAGCAGCCATGTTTGAAAGTGATGTCTATCGGGATGGGTATGGCCCTCATGCCTCACTGGACAACGACAGGGGGACTGGAGCCATTACAAGGTCCCCTTCAAATACTGGAGGTCAGGCCTCTATCCCCGCCTTCGCAAGATTAGAATTGTCACAGCCCTTATATACTTAGAGAAGGGAGGAGATGTCAGGGGCAGTCCTGCTTACACACTGAAGGCCTAAAATCAGCCATAGGCCTAAAATCAGCAATAGGCCTGTCATACATGTATACTAACACCAAGTCTTGGGTCTCAGTGGAAAAACATTGAAACAGATGGCTATAAGCTAATGTAAACAGGCAGCTTTTGTGGAAATTTACAAGCCTAAATAGTCATAGACCTTGTAAATAGGTAGCTTTGGCAGACAATACCAACTTAAATAAGGACAAGCGAGTCATAGGCAGAGTCATAGTGACTTTGTCCCCTGAACCTTCACCCAGCTGATACCTGGTTCTAAAGATATCTGTATTCCCCCTGAACACCTATACTCCAGTGTCATTCCCTTCCCCACATCCTGCTTTTCTGTGTTTATAACCCCTGTGTGAATGAATTACGATTTGAGAAAAAATAAATTATTAAAAAAAAAAGTGATGTCTAATTGAGTGGAAGACAAATGACAAATCAGAAAGATCTGACAGAATAGGATGTACCCAACTCTCTCGAGCTAAACCTCTGAACCTGTAAGTCAGCCCCAATTAAATGTTGTCCTTTATAAGACTTGCCTTGGTCATGCTGTCTGTTCACAGCAGTAAAACCCTAACTAAGACAATGTGATATACTCCAAGTCAGCCCTCTACACATTCCTTCAACTGAGCCACTGCTGGACAGAAACCTCTCTCCTGGAACCTTGGCCCACCCTAAGCTGAGGCTAACTTTCCTGAAGATTACCTTGCAAAGACTACTTCCCACTTCTGACAATCCCTTACCCTGCATTTTATGCTTATAGCTAAGTATTAACCATGTGTATAAGCTGTGTTTACAGTCTCCTTCACTGTCACATGAGTTACACAGAGAACACAGCTAAACAGAAAACAGAATGCCTGTTTCCTCCTATGCCTGAGAGTGCCATAGGCACAGTAGATACTTCATTAGTCTTCAGAATAAATGATATGAAAAGACTAAATAATTAGAATGAGTAGAGATAAAGAAGAACTCAAAAATCACTTTTTGGGCTATGGGTACAGCTCAGTGGTAAAACAATGCTTAACATGACCAGGAAATGGGTGTACCCTGGCATTCAAAAAAAATGTGCTACATTTTTCTTTACTCTCTACACTCTTTTCGAACCTTGGACATCTCTGATGAAACAGGAAATAAATTGATTATTTGGGCAAATAAAGTCAACTAGAAAACAGACTCTCTTGTTCTTTATTACTTCAATAACTTTGGCATTTTTTTCTTTGAAAATGTATAAATGTATAAAAGAGTAGATCATGCATCAAAACAGCAGTAAAATTCTTTATCAAAATATAATTGCATTAAGGAACTGGGAGATGGCTCAGCGAGTGAAGCTCTTGCAGTGCAAGTGTGAGAACCTGAGTCCCATCCTCAGCACCCATGTGATAACCAGGTGTGCTACTGTGTGAATACAATCCTAATGGTAAACTAGAGAGGAGGGGGGGAGATGCCCACACTCATTTCTCAACATTACACGCACACACACCCCACATTAAGAAGAGAAAAAACAAACCAAATTTAAAAATAGGGAAAGCAGTGCTATTAAATCCAAAAGGAAAAGTAACAACAGCTTCTATTTTAAACCTAATAAAGTGGGCATTTTCTTTTTACAAAGTTAGTATCATTAACTCAATACAGTACAGTTGATCCAACAATGATGCCAAGATGTCATGTGAATGGATTCATATTTGTCCCCAAAATTTTCCTGTGTGAATCAATTGTCTGGAACTAGAATCAGTCATAAAGAATGCATTTTTATGAAAAAACTCTTGAAAGAGTAGCCAGGTGTTGTGGTGCATATACACCTTTAATTTCAGCACTGAGTAGGCTAAGGCAGATGCATATCTGAGTTCTAGGCCAGCTAGGGCGATAAGGAAAAAAAGGTGTGTGGGGGGGGTCACCTGAGCGGAAACAAACTTGAGGGGCTGAGGAGGGGGTCTCAGTGGGCAAAGTGCTCAAGGTATTCAGAACCCAGATCCTACATAAACAGTCAGGTGTAGTGGTACACCCCTGGAACCTCCCTACTGGGTATAAGGTGGTGGAGATGGCTGGAAGGGATTAGCCAGCTAGCCTAGCTGAAAGACAAGTTTCTAGTTTTGTTAGAGACCCTGTTTCAAACAGTAAGGTGAAGAAATCACTAAGGAAAACACACCTACATCAATCTCTGGTTTCCACTCCTGCCTGTGTGGGTGAGTGAACATAAACCACATACCACATACACACAAAACAAAAACGAGAAAAAAGGTTTTAGTCTAAATCTTAAGGCTTCACCAAGCCACTCTTCTTTTACAGACCGTTAGACAAAGGCTTCAGATTTTAACTTATTATCTTCTATACATATTTCATAATAATTTTCAGTAACTGAGGAAATTTAAGAAACTAAAGAGTTACAAGATCAGCTACAAGGACCTGTACACTCCTACTGCTATGCTTTCTGTAGTGGTAAAGGCAAGTTCAATAACTTTTTATTCAAAGGATGAGATTTTTGTAGAGGTATACAAATTCCTCACATGCAGGTTTAACTATAAAAACAGTGTAAAAACATGGTAGATACAACCACTTTAAACCTTCTAATAGTCCTTCACTTATAGTTAGTATCTAATGTGAGCAAAAGCTTAAATGAAAAATAAAAAAACTACATACAACCTTTTGATTTCTTCACATCAGGTTCAGGCTCAGACTCTCGGATGAACTGCCCCAAGTCACTAACTCTCCCAAAGGACATCTTCCTAAACACAATGAAAACACAAATATCATTTCTAAAATTCAAAGTTAAATAGATATCTAAAGCTCAAAAGCTGGAGCCACAGCTCATAATGATTCAAGTTATTCAAAGTGAGGCTTATTTGAAATAGAGCTTCTTTTCATAGCGACTGAAAGACTCTAAGTCTAAAAGGGTTTATGAAACATAACACTAGGTGATTTACAGTTGTAAAATTCATACAGAGAATAGGCACAAGACTAGCCAAGACAATTTTGCAAAAGAAGAAATAAAAAAGTCTGATTTGCTCTACATGATCAGAAAGATGACAAATCCAGGATAAAACTGTAGTTCTGAGGTACAATGTATGCCAGCACAGGTGAGGCCCCAGGACCAATCCGAACTACTGAAGACCAAACAAAACTAAAACAACCAACCAAACCCCTCCCCTAAACTCATGAATGCAGTCACTAAGCAGAACACAGTATACTATTATTGTAGGAAATGAGCAGTGGACAGTGCTGTGACAGAGTTTACAGCAATGACCTGAGCGGGAGAGGAGAACAGCACTTGTGAGTGATTACAGTGGACAACAAGCTATGTGTGCTTACAGCAACAAGCTCATTTTTTATTTAAAAATGAAACAAACAAACAGAAACAGCAAAGCTATCTATTTGTAATTACAATTTAAAAGAAGAATGTGTTCTGGTACCTATGTATTCTTTTACTTTGGAAAAGGGGTCTTATTTTACAGATACTCTTTCTAGGCATTCTCATCTCATATATGCCGTGTATGTATGTCAGTATACCAGTAGATACAAATGTATTTGCCTTGGGAAAAACTTATGTAATGTACATTTTTACATAAAAGTACTAAATTCAACTAAATTTTGCAACTGAGACTGCTAGGAATTTCTCTCTCTCTTTCTTTCTTCTTTCTTTCTCTTTCTTTCTTTCTCTCTCTCTCTCTCTTTCTTTCTTTCTTTTTCTTTTTCTTCTTTTTCTTTTTTGTGAGACAGGGTCTCTATGTAGCCCTGGCTGTCCTGGAACTTGCTAAACTTGCTAGAGAGACAATATTTGCCTGCCTCTGCTGCAACTAAAGACATGAGCCATCAGCTACCAATATTAAATTTCATCTTCAAGAAAGAGCTCATGTGGACTTTGTTCAGGGTGTGTGTGTGTGTACACATGTGTATGTATGGAAGCCAGAGGCTGATTTCAGGTGTTTTCATCAATCATTTTCCACTGTATCTACTAATGTCTTAAAATTGTATCCAGTGTATTTATATATGTAGTTGGAGAGCGGGAGGTTCATACAACATGACACCTGCTTTAGGTCAAAGGAAAACTTACAGCAGTCAGTTCTCTCCTTCCACCATGTGGGTCTCAGGGACTGAACTCAGGTAGTCAGGCTTAGCAGCAATTGCCTTTACCCACTGAGCCAACTGGCCTGATCCACCTTACTTTTTGAGCCAGGCCTCAAAACTGAACAGAACCCTGGTTGAGTTTGTTGATTCAGTTAGACTGGATGGCCAATGTGCCCCAGGTATCCTTCTGTTTCTCCAGTCTGAAATGAAAACCAACCTACGTGTGGCTTTTTTATGAAGGTGTGTGGACTCAGGTCCACACACTTGCACAGGAAGCACTTCATCTACCATTTTTAAAAGACCACTATGATTGCTAAACATGACTTAAAGCTAGGCAGGCAAGACGGCTTGGTGAGTAAAGGCCTTTTAGCAGCAAGCCTGGAAACCAGAATTCAAACCCATATACCAGTGAGAAGACAAAACCAACTCAACAAAGTGGTATTCTAACCTCCACATCTGTATCATGACATGTGTGACCACATATGCACAGTCACACATACACACAAAAAAAGTTATCACAAAGTTGACACAGATAATGTGAATATTCAAAGACTGTGATTAAAGTTTTTGTTTTCCTTCAAGGTTTTTCCTAGACTTCTCAGTCATCCAAATGCCACTGTTAATTTCTGACAAAAACATTAAGGCGTGGTGAAATTCCTTTCACAAACTGCTAAGATCAAGGACAGAACAGGGTCAGTAATCAAATCCATATATGTTTATATGCTCATCAAACACTCCATGGGTAGGGGTGATACACATACACAGAGCAGGGTTTATACAGCCATCAAATATACTTAAGAAGGAAGTCACTTTATAAGATATTTCAGAAAGTGAAACATCTTACTGTCGTTTCACTCTAGGCTCAAAAGAACAACCAAGTTCATTCTCAAATACAGAGAAATAACTCAGTTTCTTAAGTATTAACTATGCAACACTCAAGTAACCTCAGCATCTTTTTTTTTTTTTTTTTTTTACTTTTTATTTTTGTTCCTATTTTTAATTTTAAGATCAAGACTTTTAAAAAGCTAAAGTGACCAGACATGGTGGCACATACCTCTAACCCCTGCCTTTGGGAAGCTGAGGCTGGCAGATCTCTATGAGCCTCGTCTATGTACTGAATTCCAGACCATTTAAGACTACATAGTGAGACCATTTCTCAAAGTAAATAAGTGAATAAATAAAACAGGTAAAATGTAAACCAGGTGGAATGTGTCTCAGCAGATAGCCGAGACTGCAATATGTAACTATGATATCATCGATCTGGGACACAGGAGTGGAGTGCTGATGGAATGGTGTGCATCCAATGCTTCCTAGACATCGGACACTATTTTAAAAGCTTTTCATACATTACTTCATTTATGTCCTTCAGTGAGTTGGAGTGTTACATCTGAGTCACTAGAAGACTGAGTAGCATGCCTAGTCATAGACAGAACTGAAAACTCAAGAAGCCCTCCATGGCCTTCCTTTAAAAATACTTTTTTTTTTTTTGTAAATTTATTGTTGTTATACATGTGCCTGGTATGTATGTGAATTCAGCTTTGCATTTGCCACAGCATGTACTGGAGGTCAGTTGAAAACTTTGTAGAGTTAATTCTCTCCTTCTACTATGGTTCCAGGAACTAACAGGTTTCAGGCCTGCTGGTCCTAGAACCATCCTTTTTGTTTTGTTTGTTTTGTTTTTTCAGACAGGATCTCACTGTGTAATGTTGGCTGGCCTGGAATTCACTATGGAGACCAAACTGGCCTTGAATTTACAAAGATGCATTTGTGTTGGTCTCTTGAGCGCTGAGATTAAAGGTAGGTCACAATGCCTGGCTTCCTTTTAACTATTACATTACACGGCATGTGAAAATGCTGAGCATTTAAATTTTTTTTAAAAAAAAATGTAAAAGAGGCTGAATTTTACACATGAGTTGAGCTTACCCTGCATATGTTCGTTGATATAAGGACTCTGGGTCCAGACTTGCAGCATCCACAATTATTGCTTCATCAAAATTTTTCAGAATTTTAATACTGGTTTTTTTCACACTAGACTACAACAGAAATTATAAATTAGTAGTATATTAGTTTAAAAAAAAAAAAAACTAGTCCTGAGTTTGGAAGATTAGAGACCAGTATAAAGTCGTCCCAAATATGCGTGTTTATCCAACTCCTTCACTAGAGAATGTGAACGCAACATTTCTGAAACACTCTCTACAGTTACAATGAAAGGAGGAAAGCACAACATACACAAATGTACTGTACACCAAACCTGCCATCCCAAATGACCTATGCTGCAACGCATGTGCTAGCCTCAAACACTACCTTTCTAATACAGAAAACTTAGCCATCTGAGCATTTACCTGATATGCTACTTAATAAACATAAAGCCCAACCTTTACAGGGAATGTGAATGCTTTCAATTTTCAGTGAGGTGTGATGGTGCAAAGGCAGGTAGATTTCTGAATTTAAGGCCAATTTAGTCTACATAGCAAGTTCTAGGCTAGCCAGAGCTACATACTAAGAGCTTGTCAAATAATAACGATAATAACAACAATAACAACAGTAACAATTTCTATAAAACAAAAGAATAAAGTGAATCATTTATCTTATACCATATACAAAACCAACTAAAATTAGTCAAAAACCTATAGTTCTTAGAAGAAAACATAGACTTGCAAGTCTACTTTAGGTTTAACAAGGACTTCTTTTTATGTATATGAGTATTTATCTGCATGTATGTCTGTGTACCATATGATTGCCTGGTATCCTTAGAGGCCAGAAGAGGGTATTGGGTTCCCTGGAACTGGAGTTAGAGTACTCTTAACCAGTGAGCCATCGCCTCAGCACTTATACTCAGTAGTCCAACTCTAATGTAACCCTCTTTAGCCAAGTACATCGCTATCCTCTCTAATTGGTGGTATAGGTTAGCACTGTGTTTGCTATATGAAATTTATAGTGGGGGGGGTTATACACAAAAGCTTCCTTAACTTATAAAGAGTAATTTTGTTTCAAGGAAACTTATCTGAGACTCAGTATACTTAATAGCAGTGGGAAAATTATGAACGTAAATCATTAAGCTGTGGGAGGAACACTAGATAGGAACCACTGGCTCTACATTTCCTATGTGACTTTATTAAAATCAATTAATGCAGAGTATAGAGCTCTGTAAAAAGGGAGGGAAGGCTCTACCTCCTGAGAACAAGTGACTGTTGATGGTTCAGCCCTAAATGGGACATCTGTACCATCTCTTCATGACTTAGGAAAGCTTGCAGAAAAGGCACAAAAAGAATGGATGAGCTGAAGGATGAGGAGGAAAGCTGTAAATGCTTCTTCTGCACACAACCTGGATGTTGCACTCATGGACTCACAGCTACAGTGGCTACCTGCTAAGGCCTGAACCATCAACATTCCACTATGAATGGAGAACAGGGCTCATAAAAGAGTTGTAGGCAGTTAAAGTTGAAGGAAGATGTGGAGTCCTATCTCTCAGTGAGGGCTACTGACATACTACCTTCACTCAAGCAAACATCCCCTCAACCCATTCTCATGCAGGCAATCCTGATTAAATGGAGTGGGTGGGTCACCATACATCCAATGAAAGGACATGAGAATAGGAGGGGATTTAGAAAGAAAAAAGTTGATGGGAGAAGAAAAGAAAGAAAAAAGAGAGAGACAGGAGACAGAGAGGGAGAAAGAGAAAGAAAGGAAGGAGAGAGAAAGAAAGAACAAAAGAAAGAAAGAGGGGAGGGAGGGAGAAAGGGAGGGAAGAAGGAAGGAAGGAAAGAGAGAGGGAGGGAGGGAGGGAGGGAGGGAGGGAGGGAAGGAGGGAAGGAGGGAGGGAGGGAGGGAAGGAGGGAAGGAAGGAAACAAGAAATAAATGTATTAATTATCTGAGAAGGGAAGGGAAAGGAGCTAAGAATCAGCCAGGGTATGGTGCTGAATGCCTTTAATCCTGGCACTCAGGAGGCAGTCAAGTGAATCTGTGAGTTTCAGGCTAGCCTGGTCTACACATTCATGCCCTAGGAAGACAGGCTACATTGTTAGACCCTGTCTCAAAAATAAATAAAAATTAAAAGACACAACCTTACAAGGAGGGGGAAATGGGAAGATAATGAGTAGAACTTTAATATATATGGATGAAATTTCAACACAGTATATACATTTTAAAAAAATCAGATAACTTAAAAAATATTGTACATGTCCATATTTGCATGACATTGGGGTGGAAATGGCAACACAGGCATACAGAGTCCGGAGAAGAATTTTGTAGAGCACATTCTTTCCTTAACCTTTATGTGGGTTTTGTGAATTAAACTCAGGTTCCATAAGTGCCCTTTCCAATTGAACTATCTCCTGGTCCTCAGTTAAATTCTTTTTTTTTTTTTTTTAAAGATTTATTTATTTATTATATATGAATACACTGTAATTGTCTTCAGACACACCAGAAGAGGGCATCAGATCTCATTACAGATGGTTGTGAGCCACCATGTGGTTGCTGGGATTTGAACTCAGGACCTCTGAAAGTGCAGTCAGTGCTCTTAACCACTGAGCCATCTCTCCAGCCCCCTCAGTTAAATTCTTAATGCCTCCCTTTGATTTGCTGTCTTGTGAATATCCCTGTGATTTTAGTGAGAATCAGGTAAGGTATGCTATCTAACATTTTTTTTTTCTAAATAAAGACATAACATAGCATTCTAGTTCAAAACAAACCTAAAAGTAGTAAGAAAAAAAAGACAATGAAACAAATGAGCAGGTAAAAGCGCTCGCTCGCCCTGCAAGCCTGAGGAAGGATACACGTTACAATCCTAGAACCTGGAACTGACTAATCCAAGTTGTCCTCTGGCTTCCACACTCACACCATGACATATGTGTGCCTGCACTCACACACACACATCATACACATCATGTTTTAAATTATGTGTTTAAATTTAAATTAAAAATGCTATAAATTGAAACAATCTGAGTTCACTAGTAATAAAAACATATCTTAAACTCAGTTATTAAAATTTCTCAAATTATAAAAAGCGCTCTTCAGAGCTTGGTTACTGGGTTGAAGAGATAGTGAAGTGCTTGCTATGCAAGCATAAACCTAAGGTCCATCCCCAGGACTCACACAAAGAATCTAGAAATGGAGTGTTTATAATCCCAGACAACATCCTGAATGAACATCCTAAGGGAATGTGTACTGTTGCTGTGAGCACGGCCATATCAAGGGCCACAGTGCTTCAGAACCATAGGAATGGCAATGCTTTCCCTTGGTCTAAGTATGGATATTGACAGCTGTATGCAGAAAATATCAACCACAGCTCCTGCTCTGTGGATAATTGTAGCCTGAGAATGCTACCCCACGGAGGCTTCCATACTGAGATTTAGTTGTATATATATAAAAAGAAAGCCACCTCCTTGTTTAGCCATGTATAATAAATATGCTGAATTTCTGGGCTTCTAATGCATCTCCATCAAAGTTCACAGCCCACCTGATCCCAGCTTTTCTGTACATGTCACTGTCAACACAGTCAGGTCAATCTAAAAGTCATGCAGGTTGTATGAATGGGACCTGCTGCTGGCATCTGAAGGAAAGGCTCTCTCTACCTCCCACCCCACCGATAGATTGAAATCGGCAAATACCTGAGCAGTGGAGCCATCAGAACCACTTGAGTGAGACTCCTCAGGAAGGCAGACAGAACCGTGAGCAGCCAGTGCAACATTCCCTCCAAGAAATTCATCTCCTCGAACTGAATGGATAAGATCATTCAAATATTTGTAATAAAGATTGCTGGACAGAAAACCAGGCAAAAAGACCTGAAAGAGGAACAACATTTTAAAGACGAAAGTCAAATACATCCAGTAAGGCTTCTGTGAATGGCTTTACCTACAAGCCTATCATTAACAGCAACACTTGGACCTCTCCCTCTTACACTACTAGCTTTTTCTACAGTTTTCTTTTTTGGTTTGGTTTTTTGAGACAGAGTTTTTCTGTGTAGCCCTGGCTGTCCTGGAACTCACTCTGTAGACCAAGCTAGCCTTGAACTCTCGAACTCAGAAATCTGCCTGCCTCTGCCAAGTGCTGGGATTAAAGGCGTGCGGCACCACCGCCCGGCATTGTACGGTTTTCACTGGCACTAAAATCAAGTGTTGTTGCCCACCCATTTTTCATGAACATTACAAGTGAGAGGAAATAGTTGGTAATCTTTAAAACCAAAAAAAAAAAAAAGAAAGAAAGATAAGATGAAGGAGTGATTGAGGAAGACACCCAAAATTAGTCTCTGGTTTCTACATGCATGCACATGTACATATACACAAAAAAGGACTAAATTTAAAAGAATTACTATAAAAGGCAAGTATCAATAACAACCCAAGGTAGTAACTTTTTCATAATTAAAATGAAATTTTTTTTCTGATTTTAATGGGAAGTCCAGGTCTGGTGAAATATAAAAGATATAAACTTAGTGAGAAATAAAATGGAGAAGAAAATAAGATATAGTTAGGTGTGTTGACACAACACACAACCTGCAGTCTCAAATAGGTGGAAAGATTAAATGTTTAAGGCTGGGAGATATGGGATTTGTTGATTCCTAGAACTCAAAAAATGCTTAGTGGTGCACATCTGCGAATACCCCTGTGCTCAGGAAATCTCTGGGGCTGACTATCCAGCCAGTACAGAGTGATTGCTGATCTCCAGACCAGTGAGAGACCAAGTCCCTGAGGATCACACACACTGACATATTAAACAGCAATGAGAAGGACTGGCAGGAGTTCTCAGAGTTCAGTTCCCAGAACACATGGTAGAGACAGAGAATTGGCACTTGTGTGTTGTCCTCTTACATCTACATGTGGTACATTGCACATAGACACCTACTTGCACATACACATGTGCATGTGTGCAACTATAAATAAAGTTAAATTTGAAAAAAGAAAAGTAAAAATGTAAAGTGACATATTCAACAAGTACTGTTGAATATTTCTTTCTTTTTCTCAAGACAGGGTTTCTCTGTGTAGCCCTGGCTGTCCTGGAACTCACTCTGTAGACCAGGCTAGCCTCGAACTCTCGAACTCAGAAATCCGCCTGCCTCTGCCTCCCAAATGCTGGGATTAAAGGCATGCGCCACTACCGCCAGGCTCATCTTATCTTTCAAGACAAGGTCGCTCACTGAACTTGGGGCTCACCAACTGGGTGGATCCTCCAGTTTCTAGGTCCTCAGTACTAGGATTACAGAAGCCACTTCTCCATACCTAGTTTCTTAGGAAATTACTGAGGGTCAGGAGGTGGTGGTGGCAGCACACCCCTTTGATCCCAGCACTATGAGAGGTAGAGGCAGGTGAATCTGTGAGTTCCAGCCAGCCTGGACTACAGTGTGAGTCCCAGTAAAACTCTTGTCTCAAAAATACAAAAAAAAAAAAAAAAAAATCAAAATGAGAGAGAAAGAAAGAGAGAGAAATGAAATTACTGAGGAGAGAGAGTGTAAGAGAGAGAGAAAAGAAATGAAACTACTGAGGATACTAACAAGTCTGACTGAGCTACCTTCCAAGCATCTACGTTTAGTATCTTTGTGTATGGCATTTTAGAGGTGCTTAGCCAATCTCTCTGTACCTGGATAAGCATGGCATGTTTTACTGATAAACTTGTGAGTTTTCCTTGGACTCAATAAAACTCCCAATAAATCTGTTCTAATTCATTAGAATAAATTATTTATAAATATTAACACTTAATAAACTGTTAGTATCTCAAGTGATCAAAGCACATAAAATCAGTATTTCAATCTTGAGAATCAATAGATATTTGCCAATTATTCAGAAATTAATTTTATCTCATACTGCTACTAGCAGTTAATATTTTAATGTGATGGTCATTAAGATAATAAGCATTTTATATCATTACTTTATTTTAATACTGTATAACTTTGATGATATTTCTATTTTACAGATGAAGAAATGATATTAGAAATTCAGTAACAGCCTGGGCCATTTAGCCTACAGAAGTAAGGTTAATACACACCAAGTCAAGATTAAAGTATCTGTTCTTAATCAGTATGCTGTACCATTTCAATTTCCCACAATTGTTATACATTGTATTTTCAGAGTTCCACAAGTAAAACTTCTCATAGTTTAATATTTGAAGATCTTGGTTACCTTCTCCATGGTTGTCCAAGCCTGACGTAATGGAGTTGTAAAACAGTTAGGAAGTGGTCCACCTTCCCTGCAGATATTAGATTCAATTTCTAATCTCACAACATCATCAAATCCTAGAGGGTGTGTAGCTTGGAGGGAAAAGTACCTATGGCAAGAGATTTGAAGTATAACCAAATTACACACAAGGTTAAACAGCTGTCTATACTTACACACACTCTTAATCTGGGGTAAGTGATTCCACTTCAGACCTTCAACTGCAGAACCAGGTAAGGAAAGTGCTATTAAGTAACCTTTTACTGATTCTCACATCCTCTAGAAAACCTACTGCTTCTCACCTGTCTTCCAAACATCTTCAGTTCTTACCTAGCCAACTCTGTAGCTACTTAAGAGTAGTTTGTAAGAAAATTTCTTACTCAGACCCTATCATTTTCCCTGAAAAGAGTAACAAAGATTTGTGCACAAGTTAACAGTGAGACACACCACCACAACTACAAAGAATTGTAATAAACACATGAGAATCCAAAACAAATAGTATTAAAGGTAAAGTAGATAGATTTAACTGGAGTTACCTTAGAGGACCTGCAGATGATTTAGAGCAAAAAGAAAAAGTAGTTGATGAAAACACCTAAGAGTTTGAACACAATGGGATATAGTGCAACTAATGTTTGGTACTTTGATTATACATACAAAAAAAAGCAATAAAACCAGGGAAAGAAAACTTTCACATACTTTAGAGCTGTCTGTCTCCATCTGTGACAGATACACAGAAGGGGTAGTGATACATACAGGAAACAGAGGGATAAACAAACAGGAAAGGAGAAAGTCCAACCCGACAACTAACTAACAAAATAGTAGCACCCATAGGACACCAGTCTTGGGAAAATGACTTCCAAGGTGAAAGAAAACAGGTCTGCTCTGAGCAGTTACTGTGCTCCAGCCTGGACTGGGTGGAGCCTGGGCCACTGCTCTGCTCCAGTGTTCACAAACTGCTCTCTCTTCATCAGTCTTCCCATACTAAAAAGCACTTCTCCTGTGCTATAGGAAAGGAGTTAACAAGTACTCTTAAATGAGTTTCATTTCCAGGCACCCAGACAAAGCTTCAAATATGCATTCTTCCCACTGCCAACAGCCATCACTCTTTACCCAATACCTCCCACTAACCCACCACAGCAGGATGAGCCCTGGACTAAACATGAAGAACTAGATCTGATCGAGGTCCACTACCAACTTGCCCCATGACTGACTGAGAAACAATGTTCTTCACGGGACTTAGTTCCTTACCTTCAAAACAGAAAAGCCAGACTAGATGCTTAATCTGATTATTCATCAGAATCATCTAGAATGTTTTCAAAAGAATAAGCATTCCCAAGTCTCCCCATCAAACATGCTAAATCAGAATCTAATACACAGGACTGGAAGCGAATTTTAAACAAGGTCCTAGATTAAAGTTCTTAAAGATTTATCTTATTTATGTGTTGGGTGTTTTGCCTGCAAAAGTGTCTGTGCACAGTGTAGGTGCCTGGTCCTTGTATCCCTGGAACAGCAGTTATAGATGGATGTGAACCACAATGTGGGTGCTGGTGTTGGGAGCCGACTCCTAGCCGAAAGCGGCTATCATCTTTGCAGCCATCTCAGGCCATAGACCCTGACAAGAGACTTGTTTTCAACAGCCTACAACAGCTGAGGACACTCTGATAAACATCTTATTTTTCTCACGTATCTTGTTTTGTTGTTTAGTGCCCCCAGCTGCAAGGCACATGTGGTAAAGTGTCTTCAGCTGTGTTCCCCTGCTTATGCTTATATATACCCAGGATTTCCTTTCAATAAAAAGGGGACTTGAACAGACCCTCTGTCTTGTCTCCATTCTTCGAGTCTCTTGCCCTTCCACCCCCCACTCTCTCTCTTGCTAGACCCTGACCCGCAGACTGGAGCAGGAGCTCAGCCGGGACAAAGTGACCCCAAAACGTGGGGCAGAACGGGCTGTAACATGCTGGGACCTGAACTCAGGAAGAATAACTGTTGCTCTTAACCAGTGAGACATCTCACCAGTCCTTTGTAGATGAACATTATGCAGACAGCTTGATGCAAACCTGCAGTTCCATGTTTAGCATCCACTAGTCTAGACATTCCTTCCCCTTTCACTCTGACATCACAGAGTTCTTGCTTTTATTATTTTTTTAATGTGTGCATGTGTTGTCTGTTTGAATGTGCAAAATGTACGTACAGTTGGCCCTTAAGCCAGAAGAGGGTGTTAGTCAGATCCCCTAGAGATACACATGGTTTTGAGGTGCCTGACACGGTGATGGAAGCAGAAACTGAGTCCTCTGAAGAACAAGTGCTCTTAGTTGCAGAATCACCTCTCCAGCCCCCAGGCTTGTGGAGCTCTTTTAATCCCCAAGTCACCCCTTTACAACTGTCTATGGATATAAATAATTTTCTCACAAAAAAAAAAGACAAGTGTAAAGAATAAATTGAATTTAGCCAGGCAACAAGACTGTGGTGACAGAGCTAGTTACAGTCTTATTTGCCTGAGCAGATGTTTTAGTTATATTTTATTTTCAAACTTCTTGTCTTTGGTGAAAACTAATGAGAAATTGACTGCTGTAATCCAGAGGTAGAGGACATACTTAGCATGTACAAGGCCATGGGTTCAATTCCTAGCACCAAAGACAAAACCCAAAATTACTTAAAGAAAAAACAAAAAACATAAAAACAAAACAAAAACCCTGTTTATTATCAATGCAGATCAAAGGTATGATACATCTACACCCTTTCCAGTATATTCCAATTATTTTAGTGTATGTCCTATTGCGCTCTAGAAACATTTTTATTTCCCAAACTCAAGTCCTCTTTCCTTTTCTACTAGCGATGGTGGACCCAGTGCTGGTTCCTAACACAGGCTCTTCCACTGGACTCTGTAAGCCCTTTCCATCTTGGTCCTAGCTAAGTGCCACATTTCCCTGCTTGCCTGGAAAATGTCAATCGATCCTTTTTCTTCCTCTTTTCATGTATGTATGTATGCACAGTCTCATGTGTATGTGCAAGTGAGCATGCATATGTGAACATAAATGTGTGGAAGTCACAGGTTGATGCTCAGAGTCTTCCTTGATGGCTCATCTTCTTTCTTTGAGGCAGGGTTTCTTCCTTTTCTTTCTTTCTTTTTTTTTTTTTGTTTAAAGACTATATATGTACTTTATTATTACTATTTTATGTGTATGAATGTTTTGCCTACATGGATATCTGTGCATCACATACAAGCTTTGTGCCATAAGAACCCAGAGGACATCAGGTCCCCTGGGTAACACCTGCAAATGAAGTTACAGGTGCTTATGAGCTGGGCATGGAACCCCAGCCCTCTGGAAGACTAGCAGTGCTCTTAGCAGCTGAGCCATCCAGCCCCAAGGCAAGACTTTTTTTTTTTTTTTTTAAGGCAAGACTTTTAATCAACCCTTAGCCATGTCCCCAAGCTGCTACTGCTGCCACCACCTCCACTTCCTCTTCCTTCTCCTCTTCTTATTTTATTTTATATGAGTGAGTATGATATCTTTGCTGGAAATTGAACTCAGGACTTCTAGAAGAGCAGCCACCTAAGCTAAGTTAAGGGGTCAGTTTCTTTCAGCTCATGCCAATGGTCCTGTCCTGATCAGATCTCTGTTGTTCAGAACCTTTTGGGTTCCCTCCAGCTACTGGGACCTACTTTTGCCCTTCATTTTATTCTTAAGGATCTAAACCAAGTTTCTGTCTGTGAAGCCCTTCTAAGTACCACACCTTGGTCCTACTTACTATTAAAAAAAAAAAAAACCTTTAATTTCCTCAGCAGGGAGTTTTGTTCTCCAACTGGAGAGCTCTGTATCTATCCCATCCAAATCAGCTTTTATGCTATGTCCTACGGACTTGACAGCAGAAATGGACTTTATTCAAAGTTATCATCACAGTGCATAGTGAATACTCAAAACACCTACTGAACACACTGACCAAACAAACTCACTTGTCATATAAAATCATGGCATCATTCTGTGCCTCCTGTCCATCATACTGGCCCTTTTTGGCAGCAAGCTGAGACTGGAAATTATCCGCTGCTAACCAGAATTGTAAGATATTCACTGCATCTTCTTTTTCCATGTACTAGGAAGAAAAACACAAAAGAGTAAGACAAGAAGCAGTTCCCCCACTACCTAAAATTTTTATGTTGTTAGAAGTAAAGTCAAAAGGATCCCCTGCACTCCACACCCTTCAGGAACATGTAGAAACCTAAAGTAGACAAGTTTTAAATATTCTCTCAGGGGACAGGGAAGTAAAAAAAATAACAACAAAATCCCACACCCTGCACCAGGAGATGCAAACTTCAGTGCACTGGAGCAAAACTTAGACAAATGTGGATTCATACTTCCTCACGAGTGATGACAATGAGCTAAATGGATGAATTCTTTTACACCTAATCACAGCTGTCATTCCGTAAGAACACATGGGCACTCCATGAAGACAATCTGAACAGATATTGATTGATTTCAAGTATGAACAAAAGGGGAAAAAATGAAAAGCAAGTTGACTATATGTTTAGTGTACTTTTGCAAAAAGGCACAGTTCAAGCATCTAGGTTGCTATTTTGCCAAGTGACACTGGGAACTGGGAACCTAGGGCCTCCTAAAGGTTAAAACAGAACCTACCACAGGAATCTTTATAATAGTCATTTGTTTGCAACACAAATATTTTCTTTTCTTTTTCTTTTTTTTTTTTTTTGTTTTTTTGAGACAGGGTTTCTCTGTGTAGTCCTGGCTGTCCTGGAACTCACTCTGTAGACCAGGCTAGCCTTGAACTCTCGAACTCAGAAATCTGCCTGCGTCTGCCTCCCAAGTGCTGGGATTAAAGGAGGCAACACAAATATTTTCATTTGCTAAAGTCTAATAGGCAATTATATAAAGCTGTATGCCTTACCTGCTGTGGGTGGATAATGCTGCTCCCAGAAGCCATATTAAACCAAATCTAAGTGCCATAGTGGGCTATCTTCCTGCAAGCTGTTGTGTAAAGTGGCCTCCAAGGCCCTCAAAATAATACAGGCAATTACCATTGTAGCTGTTTGCTCACTAGTACTAGATGTCAAGACCCCACTGCTGAAGAAATCACTTTGGTCACATGACATAAAGAAATCAAGCTGGAAGTAGAATGGAAGCGTCTTCCATGCTGGTTAGCCCTTGTAAGTTGGAAGGTACCATGCAATGTGCTGGGGAAGAATTGTTATGTGGCTATAGACTTTTAACATTCCTGACCAGCCAGGCAAGATGTGTCCACTGGTACCATAGTAGCAAGTCTGTTATAAAACTAACCAACTGATTTCTGGTTATATTTGATTCCCACTTCAAAGGAAGGAATCCACATTTGTTACTTTAAACCCAATCAAAAGGTCATAGCTGAGAAGGTCAGAAAGTCCTAGTGAGGAAGCTACTGCTATTGTTTTGCTAAGTGGATATGATGTGCCTATTAAGCTGCCTTCTAGACAACACTTTCATAGATATAGAACAGAGCTATTGTCACATTTAATGAGAGGTTTTTTTTTTTGTTTTTTTGGTTTTTTTTGAAAGAGCCTCTTTAGGTAGCTTTGGCTAGCCTAGAACTCACTATGTAGATCAGGCTAGTTTTAAACTCAGAGATCTTTGGCCCTCTGCCTCTCCAATGCTGGGATTAAAGGTATGCAATACCATGTCCGGCTTCTTTTTGCAGTGATTAGTGGTGACTGCAGAGATCCCATAAATAACTGATGAATGTACAACTATTAATGGGACATCTGTATCGCTCCTCCATGGCTCAAGAAATATCATGGAGGAAGAGTCAGAAAGAATTAAGAATTTAAGAGCTGGAAGAAGAGGACGAGTGATGTACAACACTAAGTTCCAGGTACACTGTGGCTGTTCCCCGACTGAACTCACAGCAGCTGTGATTACCTGCAAAGACCTCCACAAACTGGGCCCATCAACAACCTTGTTTAGGAAGGGGAAGGGCTCATAGGGCTACGGAACTCCTTAAGGATTTACACAAAGTTAGTGATGGATGCAGGGAGACACATCATCACTGGTAAAGTCAATGGTAGGGTGTCCATGCTTTTGTAAACAACTCTAATGAAACTCACTAAGGAACAGACACACATTCACAAAAAAAAAAAAAGGAAAAAAGAAAGGAAGGAAGGAAAGAAGAAAGGAAGGAAGGAAGAAATAGGGGAGGAGGCAAGTTGAGAAAAGAAGGGAATTAGGAGGATAGATAACAAGGTATTTGTGAATATATTCAAAATACATTATGTATAATCTATGAGTTTGTCATAATGAAGTTCATTATTATGTGTTTTATATATGGCAGCAAAAATGTTTTAAAAAGACTTTAATCAAATGAATATATGTTGGAAAATATCATGTATGTCTCAAACAGATTAACAGATTCACAGTTTGCTTCAAATATTATACTGAAAAATTCTAACAACTAGCTAAAATAAAAATAATGAACATGGGGAAACGTTATTTTTCTTTCTTTCCTCTGAAATCTGGTCTGTACTTACTGCAATGGAATGAGGTAGCCAATTCTATGGCTTTATTTACTTGCTTTTATTCAGTATGTATGTGAGGTGTATGTGGGAGTCCCTGTACTCACGTGAACGTAATAAGGCGAGAGACTGAGAGCAGATGTGCTCGTTTATTGCACTCTGCCTTATTTTTGACACATGGTCTCTTCTAGATAACTTGCCAAGACTCCAAAGAGCCTATCTCCACTTCCCATTGCTGAGCAAACTAATGGATGTGGCCACTGCTCCCATGGGCTCTATGGATCTATCTCAGGTCCTCCTGCTTGTGCAGCACACACTGTTTACTGAGCCATCTCCCCAGCCCCTATTCATTTATTTTTGAGGTAACCCAGGTTGTCCTCAAAGTCATTATGTAGCAAAGAATGGATAACCTTAAATTTCTGATCCTCCTGCCTCCATCTCAAGAGTGCTGGAATTACAGGTTTGGACCACCATGCCCCGTTTCATGTGGTGACAGGGACTGAACCCAGAGCTTTGTATACACTAGGCAGATATTCTGCCAACTGAGCTACAGCCCAGCCTCCAATTCTATGGCTTTAAAATAGTTTAAACTACTACTTATATTGTATTTTATTATAGTGTAGCTAAAGTACTTTCTAAAAATTAGGGTTATTTTATACTGACTTTCCTCTTTAACCTGATAAATATGCCATTCAAGTATTCTTGCCATTAAGTACAACCTAAACAAACATTTTGCAAATGAGTTATCTCTTTGATGTCATTGTCTTTAGACAGAGTCCCAAGCATGGAGCTAGAATGCTCTAGCAGAATATAAAAGAAAATGCAGAATTTACCTCAGAAAAATAAAAGAGGGCTGACTCACAGAAGAGAATATCAGCCAGGTAAACAGTCCCACTGGTCAGCACTTCAATCTGGTATTTACAGAAATGGTGACTTCGCAGAAACTCACTAAAGTGCCTGCACATGAACAAAAAGAAAATGTTTGAGGGAAAGATCAGGGAAAGAGCATAACTGGAAAAAAAAAATAACTCTTTCCAAAACTATTCCTCATCAATCATTTCTTTAAATATGTTTTTTTTAAATATGTTTTTTTCAAGACAGGGTTTCTCCATCCCTGGCTATCCTGGAACTCGTTCTGTAGACCAGTGCTGGAATTAAAGGCATATACCACCACAACCTGGCTTTAGTTCCAGAAATCTTAAAGGCTTAGGTCAAGGCTACCTTATTTCCCAAGGTGCTGCTCCTGATTCCTTTCAGCTGTAAACCATCTCTCAGTGAGTTTGTGGCTTTCTCCTGATGGTTAACACGAACTACCTTGTGTTACAGTAACCAAAAAACATGGCCTCTTTCTTTTATTAAGCTCTAACTTCTTTCAAGGCAGATACTGTATCTACTTGTGGCCTGTACAAAACATGTAATAAATACCAAGTAAAAGAATGAACATACAGATTTTTAAAGGCACACAACAATAATCTTAAGAAGTCTGGAGACAGTTTATTATTGTTATCATTTAGTTATAGAGCATAAACTGAAAGCATGAACAAGTCAGATGTCCATTAGAAGACATGCATTACTAAACTAGGAAATCTTCAGACATATACCACAGTCTCAGTCACCCCAGTGACTTTATCCAAGTGCACTGTTTTTAGTTGAGTAAAGTCCATTTTCCAACCAGGAGCCAGAATCCCCAGGAATGCTAATGTGAGAGTATGAACTTACTCTTGCTCCATTGCACTAAAGACTACAGCCTGTGCCAGAACGAAACAGTTGGGATCCACCTGTCCATCTTCTCCACAAATCTTTGCTGTGAAAGAAATAGCAATTGAATTTCTACTAAATTCAAGCTATACCCACTTTAAATAAAATTTGGAAATAATAGTTAGGGCATACACATGAGGTTTCCAATAGAACTAAAAGGGTTGGCAAAGGCTGCCAAACCCAATGATGACTCAAGTTCAATACCCATGTGGTAGGAGAAGAGAACCAATTCCCATAGATTGTCATCCAACCTCTACTGTGACACATGTACTACTCCCCAAATAAGTAACTAAATAAGTATCTAAATAAAAGAAAGAGAAGAAAACATAGGTAACATCCTGGGACCAGAAAAATCTTTTGAGGTATGCATATGAGAAACAGATCAAAACACTGAACAAGACAAGCATCTCTCTACATTAAATTGTTCCCAAAACATAATGAAAGGCAAATAAAGCAAATGGGCATAGGACAAGAAATGGACCAGTGGTTAACAGAGAGAACTCAAGTTTGGTTCCTAGCTCCCATGTCAGCTAGATCATAACCACATATAATTCCAGCTCCAGGGAACAGGCACCTGAACTCAAATTGCACATACCCACACACAGATATATGTATACACACATAATTTAAAATAATAAAAGCTTTTTTAAAAGTCAGGACATGCATGACAATTAAAAGTTTACCATCAATTAATGGCCCACATCCCAAATAAAAATTGAACTAAGGACATGACAGATGACTCCAAAAGAAGAGGTGGGCGATGCTCTTATTACCCAGCCATCAACCTGCTTTCTTCTATTTAAAAAACAAATAACAAAAAACATAAAATGATTATGAAGACATACATAAACTTGTGAGTTATCAAATGAAGCAGACAGTAGATAAAAATCAACACAAAACTGCTTCAGCAATTATACATATATATGTATAAATATACATATGTGTATATACATGCTGCCACAATTTTTTATATATATGTATATATATACTATATATACACATTATATATAGTATACACATTATATATATATATATATATATATATATATATATATATATATGAGTTATTTAATAGCATACACTTAAGCAAGCTAGGACAGAGGAAAACTTATATCACTACTAACAGAAGCATACACAATGTATCTTCTACTGGGCAATTTGACAGTTTCCATATTAGCTTTTTTTTGGAGACAAACATTATGTAATAACCCTGGCTAGCTGTAATTCTTTGAAGAATAGACTAGCCTCAGATTTATAGAGATCCACCTACCCCTGCCTCTGGAAAAATGAAATATTTTTAATTAGCAGCACTATTTCTAAGACTGTAACCTAATGAACTATGGATTTAAAAGTTTAAAAGTGAGAGTTATAAAGAGAGCTGCCTAATATACATCACTAGAAAAACCCCGAAGCAACAATAAGGGCCAGCTCTGCTCAGTCCCTATCTTTAGAGAGGCTTCAAGAAACTCAAGGGTCAGTTACATCCTGATCCCTTTATTCATCGCTCTCCAGACAATGCTCAGGTGTGGTATGAATGTGTATGTGGTCTTTGACCAACTTCCTAGCCACCTGATCTTAAACTTCTTGGAGTCTCTGGAGCTATGAGAGTCTTTATCATATGATTATAAGATAACCAGTATGCGAACACCTAGTAAGTTTCAGGTCTGGTCACCAGAATGACTGGGACCTATGACCATGACCTGCTGAGAGGGTTAGGATTTTCAATGAAGGGGACTGAAGGCCAGGTATTCATATTCTTGGCCAATATTCATACTCAGCTATGTCCACACAATGAAACCACTATTAAAACCTAAAGTACAGGACTGAGAAAGAGGAGTTTCACATTAATGACCATACAGAGGGTGGTGTGCATGTGGACAAAGTACAAAGCTCCATGTTCCTTCTCAATCTGCCCTGTATGTAGCTTCTGATTGACTATGGACCTGCATCCTTTATAATAAATTAGAAATTTTAACTATTTTCCTAGATTCTACAAGCTGCTCTAGCAAAACTTATCAAACCCAAGGAGGGTGAGTGAGAGCAAGCAATGTAGGTCACAACCTTCTCAGAAGAAAAAGTCTTGTGGGACAAAGCCCTCAACCTCTAGAATATTAGGCTATTTCCAGGCAGCCAGTGACAGAACTGAATTGACGAAGATAACATTTAAGTAGCATCTGCTAGAGAATCATATGCTTAACTGGTTGTTGATGGGGAAGGCCCCATATATCCAGGGTCACAGACCAGTCTTAAAACTGTCAAAGTATAGCAGGAGAAGCTAAATGCTTCCTATATTCTTATTATAGCATGCTTTCCCTTAAGTCTATTCTCTCTGCTGAGGACTTTGTTTTCTACTTCACTGAAAATCCAGAGCAATGAGACGATTCCTAATCCCTTCTGTCACATGGGTCTTTACCACCCCAGAGTGCATTTGTTCTTATCACTTAAGATGATTTTCTTTCTTTTTTTTCTTTCTTTCTGAATTACTAAGACACTCTCCATCCCAGATGAATCATTTTTTGCTTATCTGAGCAGCCTTCCATTCCAACTCTGAAATCCCACTGTCTGCTTCCACAAGGCTCTTCCTTCAAGCTTTTGTGTCAGTGCTCTCATTTTCATCAGCTGCCAGGAGGGTGCTAAGCACACACTCCTCCTTAAATGTGGTAACACATTTTGTGGCTGTAATAACCTTACTTTAGAAACAAAACCAAAGACCTTGTTCCTTGACTTCACACTCTTCACAGCAATATGGCTCATAAAAATTTTCAATACTTCCTGAGCCATTCTTCTTATTTTCTTTAAATATTCTTTCTTTTTTCTTTTGGGATGAGGGTCTCCTTATGTAGCTCTGGCTGTCTTAGAACTTATTATGTAGACCAGGCTGGCCTTAAACTAGAGATATGCCTGCCTCTGCTCGCTTAGTGCTTGGATTTAAGGCATGTAACACCATGTTCAGCTCTTTGAAGACTCTTAAAATTAATTTATCTACATTCCACTATTACTAATTCTTAATTCTGAATTCTTAGTGTTCATCTTATTTAACTTAGCAGCATCATTTAACATCTTTCCCTCTCCCTAAAACTATACTTTCACCCATTTCTACCTCCCAACACTGGAATTAGAGTTATGCAAAGGCATACCCAGATCACCCCCCAATTTTTTTTACTTTATTTTATGAATCAACAAACTGTTTTTCGGGTGCGTTTGTTTATTTATATGAGTGCTCTATATGCATGCACACCTGCATGCCAGAAGGATTAGATCACGTTACAGATGTTTGGGAGCCATCATGTGACTGCCCAATTTTTTAAAAAACAATGTACTTTTTATGTGAATAGGTGTTCTACCTTCATTTATTTTTGTGCAACACATGCATGCTTGGTGTCCACAGAAGCCAGAGAGAGCATCAGACCCCCTAGAACTGGAGTTACAAATGGCTGTGAGCCTCTCACTGTGTGGGTGCTGGGAATTGAATTCAGGTCCCCTGAAGAAGAACAGTCTTCTTAACTACTGAGTCATCTCTCTAGTCCCACAAAGAGTTTTCTTTTTACATTTTTTATTTCTGTGGTGTGTGTGTGTGTGTTTTACATGTGTTTATGTGTGCAGATCATAGGGTTCCCCACAGTTGAAGTCACAGGGTACTGAGAACGGAAATGGGGTCTTCTGGGAGAACAGGAAGTGTTCTTAACCACTTAGCCCTTTTTCCAGTGCCTCTTCTCCACAGTTTTAAAGTTTGAGCCAGAGATAATATAACTACTGATATAGTTTTGCCTATGCATACATATGTATGATTGAAATAAATTTTTGAAATGTATGCCTCAACAACTCTGAAATTCTCCAATTTTCTATCTAGTTTTTTTTTTATGAAAATGCATTTTTTAAAAAAATGTTTGCCTGTCTAACAAAACCAAGAATGAAATGAAACACAAACATATCTTATATTCCATGTCCTTGAAAACACTAACTTTTCTATTCTCAAGCTTCCTCATTTACAAAGTAGTATCTGTAACTGTATTTATAACAACAGACTCTTATTCAATACATGGAAAGTCCTCAGAATATTGTCTAAGTCTTACAGAGTAGTCAATAAAAATGTTATTTTTGTGCTTGCCATTATTGGTACCACTCCAATATTCTGAGTCAACATGCAAGAGAGAAGTGAGCTAAAATCAGGTACCTTGAGAGGCTGAAGATATGGTACTGCAGCTAAGAGTACTTACTGCTCTTGCAGAAGACCTAGGTTTAGTTCCCAGCACCCACATGGAGGTTCACAATTGCCTGTAACTCCAGTTCCAGGGATCAAATGCCCTCTTCTAACTTCTGTGGGCTTCCGCATGCACGTGGTATGCACAAATGGACGCATGCACACGCAAGTGCACACACACTACACAATCTCCTCGGAGCTGAGAGATGGTTCAGCAGTTAAGAGCACTTGTTGGTCTGGCAGAGGACATGGGTTCAGTATATAGCACTCACATGACCACACACAACTGTTCCAGTTCTAGGAGCCTGATTCCCTCTTCTGGTGTCTATGAGCTCTTGCATTCATGCCATACACAGCAATTCATGTATGCGTGCACACTTGCACACACATATACACACACACAGACACACACATATATACACACACATATATATATGTGTGTGTATATATATACACATACATATATACATGTATGTATACACACACACACACACATATAAAACTAGTAAATTTCTTTTTGGCTGGGTGTGGCACATGTCTTTTATCCCAACATTCAGGAGACAGAGGCAAATGGATCCCTACAAGGCCAGCCCTCGTTTCATAGAGTTACAGGCCAGCCATGGCTATATAGTGAGACCTTGTCTGAAGAAAAAAAAAAGACAAAAAAAAAAAAAAGACAAAACCAAAAAACCTCAATAATAATGGTAATTAAAGATAAAAAAAATCTTCTAGTCAGTAACTAAACTTGTCAGTTCTTTTTCCTATTACTTCAAGTCCTACTTACCTATGATGTCGTTTCTCATGGCTTCTGTAATTGGTATTGGTTTAGCAGCATCTGGAGATATATATTTGGTAAAAGTATTCACTGCATCTTGTTCTATACCTAGAAGAGAAGAGGACAAATTCAAAGTCAAAATGCAATTTGGATCACTGAAATGGACTGTGTTCATAACAACAGAGTGCTGTTTGCTGTGTAGTGCTGTTTTAGGACAACTTCCACTGTAAAGTTGTCCTTTCACTGTATGGTTCACAGCACAGAAAAACCTGGGTCGATTATTTTTTCCAATGTCTGTATGAGCTACTGAGCTTTTTAGTTATGACATTCTCTTTTTGTGTCTCTTCTCCAGAGTCTAAGATTGAACTATCTGCACAGTAATATAACCATATAAGCTAAAAAATCTTTATAAATCTACACTTATAACATTTGAGACATTTAAACACAGAGTTAAGGAACCATGGACTGAACCCTATGAAACTGAAGTCAAAACGGATCATCTTTTCCATAGTTTGTTACTACCAAGTACTTGTTAGCAAGATGAAAGCAAATCATTTGCTTTGGTGATTGAACTTTGGTAGGTTGAACAGCTCTAGAAAGTCACTCATTTATTTTAGATTCTCTAGTTCAGGAGAATATAGATTTTTAAAAAGTATATCTTTAAGAATCTCTTAATTTCATCAGTGTCTGTTGTAATCATCTCTAATTTTATTAATTTGGATCTTCTCTCTCTTCTGGTTAACTTGGGTAAAGATGTGTCAATCTTTTTAAAGAGCCAACTCTGGTTCATTGATTTGTTGTGTTTCTGACTTCAGCTCTAATTTTAGTGGTGAGCCTTAGCCTTCTCTCCAGCTCTCAGATCTGATTTTGGTCTCCTCCTGTCTACTTGTTTGGGCTATTGATGGCTCTTATTTTTCTAAAGCCTTCCTATGCATCACTAAATTGATACAAAGTATCTACCAATTTTTTATGTAAGTACATGGTGCTCTGAGCTTTCCTCTTAGCACTGACTTCATTGTGCCCTTCTAGATGTTGATATGCTGTGTTTTCATTTTCAGAAGTTCAATTGTAGGAATTTAAAGACTTCCTTCTTAGAGTCTCCTTTCATTCTACATTGATTCGGTGGTGTGTTGTTCAATTTGTATATTTTCTATCATTTCCATTGTTGATATTCAGCTTTATTTCATGGTGAATTAGGATGTGATTTCAATTTTCTTATATTTGTTGACATTTGTTCTGAGTCCTACTATATGGTCTATTTTTTAGAAAGTTTCATGGGCTGCTTAGAAAAGTATGTATTCTTTGGGTGGAATATTCTATAGATCTGCAAGAAACATCCTAACTGTACATTAACTGCTGAACAAATAATAAAAATGTGGAACATCTACATAAGGGAATATTATTCAGCTATTAAGAAAATGAATTTTGCAGGTAAACAGATGGAGGAGGAAATGACTATTCTCTATGAGGTAACTCAGACCAAGAAAGACAAACAGCGCATGTGTATGCCTTCTCTGATTTGTGGTTGTTAGCTTTGACTCTTGAGACATATGTACTTCATTTGGAATACCCAGATATCAGATAATTAATAAGGGGTCATGAGGAAGGCGTGAGAGATAGAATACACTGTTATAAAGGGCTAAAAAGAGCCGGGCAGTGGTGGCGCATGCCTTTAATCCCAGCACTTGGGAGGCAGAGGAAGGCGGATTTCTGAGTTCAAGGCCAGCCTGGTCTACAGAGTGAGTTCCAGGACAGCCAGGGCTACACAGAGACACCCTGTCTCGAAAAAACCCAATAAATAGATAGATAGATAGATGGATGGATGGATGGATGGATAGATAGATAGATAGATAGATAAAAAAATAAAGGGTTAAAAAGGAATAATGGTAACAGGAAGGGTTAAATTGGTGTGAGGAAGGGAGGGTAGAGCAGAAAAGGAAATAGCGAAGGATATGTTCCACTAAAGACCTTTTGAAAAAAGTCTCACGGAAAGCTACTACCATAGAAGTTTCCTAAAAATATACACGTAGAGTTATAAGTGAGTTACCCTTATGAGATAACAATGCCCCTACAACATCACAGACTAACAAAAACCCCAATGCCAGGAACTAGCTATCTCTTTTGGAGTTGTTGGCAAGTTAGGTCCCACAATCTCTCCCAAACATCAAAGGTTACTGTCTTCATTAAGCTCTTGGTTATCTCCAAAACTTGACAGTAAGACTCTATTGCTGAAGACACAATATATTCAAGTCAAAGAACACGTAGATACCAAGTTAGTACCAACCTGAAAATTTGTCTCCAGTGACTAGCCTTTTACAAGTGATGGAAGGGACTATGCATACTACTGAGGATAAAAGTAATCACCAATCTCATCTATCGATGAACCCCTTGAGCTGCAATAATGAATGGTTTAGCAATACATACCCACTGGTATACTGGTGTCAGGAGAATCCTGGGTGTAACCAACCACTCTCAGGTTGGATTTAAGGCCCACTCTACAATATGAAACCCATATCTGACACCATTATTAGGCCAAGAACCTACGGCTAGACATGTATAGGCCCTACCGGTGAGCTTACTACGATTCTGCTACTAAATGGAGACAGTACCTGAGTTCTAATGACTTATTGATATATCCATAGACTGATGTATCTCTCAATCTTCATCAAAGATTCATAACTCAAAACAAAAACATAAATAAATAAAATAAATAAATAAATAGAGCCTGTAAGATGGCTCAGCAGGGACCATATAGTGGAAGTTGTTCTCTGACCTCCACGGTATGTGGGCACATTTACATATACACATACAAAAATAAATAAATGAATCCAATGTGACTTAAGAAAGAAAAGGAACAGAAAAATTCCTTAAAATATCCTGTATTGTTTTTAAAAGATTTATCTTCTAGGGTCTGTGATATGCCAGAAACTGGAAAAAAAAACTTTCTTTCAAGAATTAGGAAGATACTTTAAGCACTTAAGTTACTCGAGATTTAGCATTTTAACAATTATCTTTTAAAATATTTAAGAGGGGTACTTTTCCCAAGAACCCAGGTTTGATTCCCAGAACCCACATGGTAACTCACAACTGGCTGTGACTTCCACTTTCAGGCGATCCCACACCACTTCTGGCCTCTGATGGAACTGCACAAAGTGACACATAGGCATACTTGCAGCAAACCCCCCCCCCAAAAAAAAATAAATAAATAAAATAAATATCTGAATCCTTAAGACTTTGTTTTTCACCTCAAAACTGATCTTCAACCAACCACAACCAAACTCAAATAGTGATTTCATGAAACAATACAAATAAAAATAACTAGAACTTTAGAATTTCCTTTTTTTTTGTTTTGGTTTTGGATTTTGGAGACAAGGTTTCTCTGTGTAGCCTGGGCTGTCCTGGAACTCACTCTGTAGACCAGGCTGGTCTCGAACTCAGAAATCCGCCTGCCTCTGCCTCCCAAGTGCTGGAATTAAAGGCGTGAGCCACCACCACCCGGCCTTGCAATTTCTTTTAACTAAGATATAAGGGCTTTGTTGTTGTTTGTTTCTGAGAATGATATAGTTCAGGAACTAGAGAAATGACTAAGTAGTTAAGGGAACATGTCCCTGTGGTTGAGATCCTGACTTCAATTCTCAGTACCACATGCAGCTCACAATCATCCATAACCTCCCACTGGGGGACTCAATAGGCACACATGTGCTGCACATACATGTATGAAGGCAAAACATTTGTACATGTAAAATTAAAAAAAATGTACAAGTAAAATAAATCTAAAAAATGTTTTTTAAAAAAATGATAGATTTCAGATCACTAAATTTTAAGAACAAAGTCTTAAAATTACTTTAGGGCATATGAAGTAATTTAAGATTAACTAAAATATAAAAGATGAAAGCTTAAGTAATAAAATTCTTCAGATATTTTATAAACTGGATAAAAACTTCCCTGAGTGGTCAGCCTGTGACTATTTCATTTATTACTATATCTTGGAAATGAGATGTATAGTAAGTACTCAAGAATAAACTTGCCACAATTACTTCCTGAAAGACTGAATTTACCTCACGAAGTAACCAATTTTTTCTATTATTTTAAACAATTAAATTATTTTAAATTTAATTTAAATTATTATTTTAAATATTAAACAATTAAATTAAATTGTTCTTATGAACAAAGACAAAACTCAAAAACACCTGAGGTCTTGCCGGGCAGTGATGATATATACACCTTTAATTCCAGCATTCAGGAGGCAGACGCAAGCAGATCTAAGTTTGACAGAGGAGTTCCAGGACAGACAATATGACAGAGATAACCTGTCACAAAACCCCAAAACCAACCAAACAGAAAGTCTGAGGTCTTAGGGCTAGAAAGACAGCTAAGTGGTAAGGAGCCCTGGTTGCTTTTCCAGGACCTGGTTCAATTCCAGCACCAGGTGGCTCATAACTATCTGTAATTCACCCATGTATACAGCAAAACATAATCCACACCAAGTTTCTGAATATGAAGATTCACAATGAATCAGGACTACTAGAACTATAGATGGGAATATCAGACAACTATGTTTAATATATTTAAGAAGATAAAGACAGTATCAAAACTGGAGTGAAGGAACAAGAAACTACAAGAGAAAGAAAGAAAGGGAAAAAAAAGAAATAAAAACACTGCAAGAAAGAATTCAGGAGCTAGCAATATCAAAATGCTTGAACCACAAGCCTGAGACTCGATCCCTGGAGCCTACCGTGTAAGGAGAGGAAACTTGAAGACTCTCTTCTGACTTCTACACACACAACATCACTCACATGTCCACAATCACACATTTACACACAGAGTAAAGTAAAATCTTACAAAAAACTTAGGAACTTTCCAAGATGAAATGACAAACTAAAACTGATTCATTAGCAAACCAGACCTATCTTTAGAGATTCCATAAGCTACAAGTATTTGAAAAAAGCAAGGCCTTTTAGAAATAGAACAGAGCAATAATTACAAAAATGAGAACATGGTGCAATTTCTGAACTAATAGAATAGGAAAGAAAAATATGCTCTTTTCAAAATGTCTGGGTTTACTTCTAGCACCTCACTCACTAGGCAACCTAAAGAAGCAACTTTCTAAACCACTTTTCTCAGAGGTAAACAGAATATTAATACTTATTTAACACAGCTGTCATGACAAATGAAATTCAAATATATACTTAGTACAGAAGTCAATAAATGATATCTATCGGCAATCTAAAAAAAATGAAATGAAAAAAATTAACCTACAAGGTGCAATTAGACAGTACTGAGGACCATGACCAGGAGATTATCCCCTTGGTCAATGGCTTCCCTTACAAATGTACAAAAAAGCAGCACACTGCCCTGCTGATCTGGTCAGCTGGTTACACTTAGCAACAAAGACACCCAAGATCTCCTTCCTGCTCTTTTTTAACACTCTGACTCCACTCAACCCTCCAAATCCTCCTAAGTGTGTAAACCAGCAAGAATGCCTATGGTTCTGACCCTCCTGTTCCTTGTCTTGGGTTCTGCGTTGTGAGATATCATACTTACTTTTCATTAGTTTTTCTGATAGTTCTCTCAGTGGAGAAGAGCAACTATTTCTACTGGCTACGGCAAGTCTGGAAGAGGATTCTTGGGAGTCTGTAGAAATCTGATGAGTTCCTGTTCTGGCCACTTGGAAAGAATGGGCACTGTGGCATTCCTGGGAAAGCAGCAAGTGATTCTGAGTGTTCTGAGTTCTACTACACAGGTCAGTTCCTTCCGATTGAGTCACAAGCACTGGGGCTGAGCTAGAATCTCCCAACCTCCTGTCAAGAGATTCAGTAACAAAAGATGCAGTAGTTTCATGTTTTTTAGATGGAGAGACAGGCTCAGCCAGTGAACTCTGTTTCACTGTGTTTAGACTGTGTGCTCTTATTCGGGACCAAGTTGTAGAGTGAAAACTTTCAGCTTCTAACCAAAATTTCACCAGGTGCTCCATTCTCCGAAGTTCCATAAACTGAAGGAAATATGGAAGGACAACAGTGTCACGCAAGACTTGTTCAAGGGTTTTTGAAAGACTGGATTTGGTCTCTTGAGTCTGATAGTCCAGACAGGATCTGCCTAAACAAGAGAAGGAAATGAATCAGCCATTTGATAATAATTTTCTATCTAAACACAGTCTACCAGGATTTCTAACAGTGGAATCAGACAGTACTTCCACTGTTTTTCAAAACAGTCTTCACTCATTTACACTGTTTACAACGAGGAGTAGCCATTTCCCACAGCTCCACTTGATGTTCAAATTACCAAACTCTGAATATATTTTAATATTTTAACTCACTATTTTGCTTTGTATCTCCTACTAAAATGTGTGCCCGTGTATGCAATCTTATTAAGTGTCAAACGCATCCCTCCAGTACACTGCTCACTATTCTATTGGACTAGCCTTATATTTACATGAATACTATTTCATTACACTTGCAGTGTTTTTTTTTTTTTAAAATGTATCTTTTCAAAGTCTCTTCAAATCACATAGTTCAGTATCCTAAGACTGGAATCTCACGTGGAAGTCTGTCCTTGACTAGGAGATAGCAAGAAGTGGTGGTCACTTACCTAGGTCTCCAAAATGAGCAGCCTCCATGTGACTTGGCTGTTTCTTAAGCGTTGCTGTCCTGCTACTTGAAAAGGAGTCCATGTTGGCAGAAATGGCATTGATTGCAACATGACTTGGTCCTGCAGCTTCCAGCAAGGCATGGTTTTTAGTGCTTTTTTGTGGGGAATGTATTGAAGCTGTATGTTTTGAAAAAAAAAAAATTTACAGTTATACACAATTTGATTACCTAAACTCATGGGCAGGCTTTAAGAAAACCTAAAAAATTAAAATTTTTAACACTTAAGCAATATTCAAAAAATAGCTAAAGTGCTAAAGAGATTTAGTGGTTGCTCTTCCAAAAACACCCTGGTTCAAGCCCAGCACATGGAAACTTGCAAACATCTGCAACTCCAGTCCAGGGTTCTAGTGCCCCTTTCTGGCCTCTGTGGGGAATAGACACACATATAGTGTAGAGACACACATGTTGCACTCAGACATACAAGCAGATTGAACACCCATACACATTAAATAAATAAAGCCAGGCTGTTTGGCACATGCCTTTAATCCCAGCAAGCGGGAGGCAGAGGCAGGTGACATTCCATGACTGACAGAGCTTCACAACACGTCTCCAAAAAATAATAGACAATATCAACCCTCAGTAAAATGGAACAAAGATACTCTATCATTTAGAACTCTTAAAATACTATACCAAAATACAATTTAGAAAGATTATTCTCTGGAAACTTTGACTAAAAGAACCAAGGCAAGTTGAGTTTGGTGCTAGACAACTGCAATCCCAGCAGGGAGCCAAGTCAGGTTCCAGGTTAATCTGGGCAACAAGGCAGAACCTGTCTCCTCAGAGTGAAGTATAAAAATTTAGAAAGCATTCTGAAACGTGGGCCTTTTCAATTTCTTAATCTTTGCTTGCTTCACAAACAAAACTAAATTTAAAATAAATTCATAAGAGAAAAAAAATCTAGAAAAATGTTCATCACAATACTTTTCCTCTTTAATTGAGCAACAAAGTTTCTCCATGTAATAAAAGACACTGATGACTAAAGTTCAAGCTACTTAAAAATAAATACTCTTAGGTAGGGCACAGTGCTCCATGCCTTTAATCCCTTAACTTAAAACTAAGTTACTTTTGTTTTGTATTTCATGTTACATTAAAGGGGGTAAAACCATTTTAACCAAGTTTATAAACAAAAATAGTTTTGCTTTTTATGTTATATTTTGAGACATGGTCTAATTATGTAGGCCAGGTTATCCTCAAACTCTCAATCCTCCTGCTTCAGCCTCCAGAATTATAAGGATTACAGATATGCACTATCAGAGCCAGTTTTAGATTTTAAAAAATATTTACTAGGGTGTGTGTGTACATGATACATGTGTATGAGTATACATGCCACAATGAACACATGGAAAGCAGAAAACAACTTCTCTCCTCCACCTTTATGTAGGTTCCAGGGGATCAAACCCCAGGTCTCTAGGCTTGTATGGCAATTACGCTTAGCCACTGAACCATCTCACCATCCCTGGCTAGTTTTCTTACACAGATAACAGCAACACTGAAAAATTCTATGTGACTGTCTCCTTTCTAATTATATATTAATTAGATGTCCATGATAACAAAAATGGTATGAATCCATTTGTGTAGTACTTTTTCTTGGAGTGTGAGAGGAGGTAGTGTATCAGTTAGCACTCAGTGCTCGGTGGCCTCATAACCACTGTAACCCCAGTTCCATGCCCTCCTCTGGCCTCTACATACATGGTGCGCACATATGCATGCAGTATGCATGCAGGGAAAACACAAGCTTTCCCCTCTCTTCACTACTCTATTAGAACTCATGCCTCATAGCCATCGGTTCCTTCCTCACTCTTTAGTTGGTCTCCATGATATTATACTCCCTAATTTCCCTTGAGTTAGTCCTCCTCATTCTAAAACCCATTTCTTAATTGTCCACTGTCAGGAATGGTCTGCTTCCCTGACTCTTCTTCCAAAGAATGTTCTATGATGCTTTCTTCTCTAACGTACATTTATTCTCAAACTTTCAGTTATTACTAGAGCAAAAATTTTCAAACTTTAAACTATAAGCTCTTCTCCTTGCCCCAAATAAACTTAGTAAAAAAATCAGATCTAATTAGATCTACAAATTCAATAAAAGCAGAATAACTTAGCCCTTTATTGTTCCTTTGGCACTAGCTCCTAAGGAAAACCTCTCTGGAGCATCTGGAGAAGCCCTGGTCTGATTGCTTACCCGTCCTTTAGTCTGGACTCTGCTCTTACATCTCTTCTTATTTATTGCTGGGGATTCCTTCTCTGGCTCCGCCACCTGAGGCCATATTTGTCCTAATATAAAAGTTATCACCTCTTTTAAATCAATTCTTTCTAATTTCCCTGTCTGCTCAAATCCACCAGTCTATAAAGCTCAAGAGTACTGTCTTATTTTTTCACTATCTCAGCATCTTTTTCTTTTACTTTTTAAATTTATTTTCAAGACTAACCTCTTTTTCTATAGTACAAAAGAATTTCTGAGTCTCCATCTTAGAATTCTTGCAAACTACCCTTCTGAAAAAACCATATAGCATCAGTATCCTCCTCAAAGGCCTACAGTGGCTCCCCATTTTCTCTAGGTCAACTTTCTTTTCTGTTTTTGGATTTCTTGTACGTTTTTCTGTTTTGTCTTTTGGCATAACTCTTTTCAGTTTATTGCATGAAGGAGTTACATTAGTATGAGTTAAAATTGGTCTCCAAATGGATATTGCTACACAAGATAGTTCTGTTCATTGTAAGGAAACCCTTACTTAAGCTTCAGAGAGCCACAGCACTTAAAACTCTCAAACCTTCAGGAAATAATCCTTGGCTGGTCCAGTCTCTATTAGAAACTGGTATGTGTTCTATAGCTGAATTGCTTCTCTATATTCTGGGTGCTTAACTACAGTACAATGGTAACAAAGGCAAATTTCTTCTTAAATGTCTCTAGCTTCTTTTCATCATAATTATGAGCAATCCCTGAATAGTAGTAGTAAAGGACTTCCAGCCAGTTGAATTCTTACATGGATATGTAATCCTCAGTCTCCTTTATTTGAAAGTTCTAGTTAGCAGGCATTTGATACAATTCCTTCTCCTCAGTGGAAATGGCCTCCTAAAGGCAGCAGCAGGAGAAGAGGGTGTGGGTGAGGGATGGGGGTGGACAGACTGAGAGCATCAGGAATCTAGGGGGGTGGAGAGAGAAGCAACTGAGTTGTTGGCAACAACTCTGTGACTAGGGCCTCTTTTCTTTTCTGGTCTTTATGGCTCTGTACAACATCATTTCAATCTTTCTGTAAAAATTTCCCTTTACTTATCTGAAGGACCCTCTGACTATACATATATACATGTGTGTGTGTGTGTATATATATATATATATATGTATATATATATATATATATGAATTTAAAGGCTGGCAAGGACAAAAACAAAACAACCAAAAAAACCCACAAACCAAACCAATCTCTTTAATTCAAATCTTCTTAATTCTTCAGTGTTTATATAGGCTGTAACACTTTCATGAAGTATTCCCTCAAGTTTGCTGACCTCAAATTTTCTGGGCTCCTTGCAATCCTCCACTTCAGCTCACTATGTTAACACTAGGCAGCAATCACTACCTAGAACACCCATGACAGACCAGACAATCTGCTGCTTTGTCTATGGGTTTTTACTTATGTTTGGGTCTCTCTAAACAATTCTTCAAGACTGGTATTTCTTCCATTTTTAGAGGTAGAGGCAAATACACAGAAAAGGTAACTACTTTTTACTAGATCTATGAACTTGGAAAGAGTCATTTCAATAGGCAGAATTCCAACCTAGGTCACCTAGAGTCATACCTCTGGTTAAAACCTCAGATCCTAGAATTACTATGTGTGAAAACATGGAAATGAATGACTCAAAAGCACTTCCCACAATACACCACAACTAAACATATAATTCCCTAGTGTGGTTCTGTGAGGCAAGCCAGAAAGGTAGCAAGTCAGAAACCTTACATTCATGTCCCTCATGTCTGAGATCTAATCAATAACAAAACTCAACTAATTTATCTCTTGGACTTTCAATTCTGTCCTCATTTCTTTATTCCCATCACTAGTTTGAGCCACCTGTAAAATTATTTGGCAAATTTTGTTCTCCCCTACTAATCTATGAACTCAATAAAAGCAATATCCATGTTTTTCAGTCTTGTTACAGCCAACTTTTTAAAAGTTTTTTAAAAGTTACAGCCAACCTTTTAAATACCAAGAATTAAAAAGTGCTCTATAAATGGTGGCTATTTACTATTTTTGGTTCATTTGCTGGTGTACATTTAAGTAGGTCCTGTTAATCAGACTACAACTTCACATTTATCCTTACATATGTCTGTGTGTGCATGTTCATGCATGCAAACAAGTACAGGTGCATCTGTGGCAGGGAGTGTTTATGGAAATAAGAGGATAACCTCCAGATCAGTTCTCTCCTGCCACAAGTTTTGCCCAGTGAGTCTCTCGAGGGCCCTTCTTGAAGGGCTGGCTCTTGTAATGTTTCTGTTACTATCATAAAGTCAAGTCCCTACCTTCTAAGCAGAGACAATGTGATCTCACAAGCAGATTATGAGCATGAAAATTATTTTACTTTATATATTATTTGGCAAATTATTATTTTTCAGACATAACTTACTTGTTTTTTCTAAGACATGGTCCCACTAGCCTGAGCCATCCTAAAACTTGCTATGTAGGCCAGGTTGGCCTCAAACTCAAAGTGATTTGCCTCACCTGTCTCCTGAGTGCTTTGATTAAAGGCATGCTGCATCTAACCCATCTAGTATGAAAATTTTAAATCTCAATTTTAATTTAGAGAATTAGAAACTCACTGGGAAACAAAATGAAGCCAATCTCTTCACTATACAAAATGAAGAATCTAAAGAAAATTCCAAGACTTTCCAAAGTCAGGCTACTAGTGTCAGTTTTGTGTAAAGACTGCAGTTCTGATTTTAGCTATGTTCGACAATGAATTTTGTACGTACTGGCTATGGAAATAATTTTCCATTGTAAATTTTCATTCCAATCTCAGTATAATAGACATTGAATAAAAAACCCAGCAGCGATATAAAAAAAAAGCATACTTAAACCCATAAATAAGAACAGTGTGTTAATATCCACAATGTTCACAATGTACTGAGACTAAGCTTCAATGAAAGCCATTGGTCCTAAGTAATATAGTGAAAACTGTACTCATCCACATTTCTGAATAGACAGAAAACCAGACTTGTAAATGGGATTCTCTCTAGCTGTCACAACTCAGTGTCTGTTTTATTGAATAACTAATGACTGTTAGGGAACAATCAAATGTATGATTTATAAAGAAAAACTGGTACACTTAAAAGCAACCAGCAAATGCTCAGTAAAAGCCTGTTAGAATATAACTAAAGAGAAAGATAAACCACAATTGTAAATAATAGTAGTAATAATAATGGAGAATGATTACTGTCATCACAAAAGAAGATAAAAATTAGAACATTCATACCCACAGGTCCATCGCTGTGAGTACAAAGGAGAACCACTCACCTTTAATGGATTTGACTTCTAAGGTCTTCTCTTGCTCTTTACCTTTCACTAGAACACAAAAGGGCATCATGACCAACTTATGCAATAAAAGAGTTCCATTCTATATATTGTCAACATCAGAGACACTTGAATCTAATCGAATGAGTATTCTGAGTTCTAGAACAATAAACTATATGTGCCCTGGGGGTAGGCCAGTTCTTAGAAAAGAATTCTTTGAAAAGTAACCTCTGAACAGCAATCAATCAAAACCTCTAGAAGGGCTCTTAAAGAGTCAACCTTCAAAACATCTATATTCAAGTTCTGCCTTTTGCTACTTATCAGCCAGGTAATCATGGATAAGTTATTTAATTTCACTGAACATTAATTCCCTTAAGTAGTAAAATCAGGTAATTTATAAAACTCACTTAGAGGATTGCTGATGAAAAGTGAAATACTTGCAAAAAGCATTTGAAATAAATTTAGGGTAAACTTTAATACCACGAGTCACCCACTATGCTGCCTACAAGCACAGGAAGAAAAGACTTCTTTGGTTCTATAGAGCATCTTACTTCTTTTGTGTGCCCTCCCTAGCTTTGGGGACAAACATCCCAAACTTACAAGCTCAACTCCTAAGCCTAAGGTCTAACAGGTTGTCTCTAAAATGATTACATAATCTTTCCTTTATTACACAAAACAGTGAAAAATTCTATAGCAGATAAGCTCACAACAGCAAGCAAGAAAGCTGCAAAGCTGCTCTAGGCAAGTGTGGATTCTATTATAAGACCTGACATGAGGTTATTTTAAATCTCCTTTACTCTCCTTGTTTGTCTTAAACATTAAATTTCCTTGACTTCATCTTGAGTGGCTTATGAAAGTAAGAAATCTCAGAATGTGCCCATGTCTCCATGTTCTGAAATACTATTAATGCTGAAAAGCCAGCAGCAAAAAATAGCTGGCTCTCAAGCATCTCCCTAAAGTCAACCCATCAACAACCCAAATCCCCAGAGTGTGCTCAACTCTCCTGGACCAGAAAAGTGCCCCTGCCTTCAGCAAATCTACTTCCAAGCATGTAGGCATCAACCTGAGAAAGATAAAGTGGTTGCTGTCACTAGGCACTGCTGTCAGGAATGTGTGACCAGTATCTGACAGGAATCCTCTTGCCTTAGCCTTCCAAGTGCTCGAATAGCAAGAAAGTACCACCCACCACCCCACAGTGGCCTATGTCTCTTCTGATATATGGAGATGGTGAAGCCTATTCTCTGGAGAGGATGAAATTACAAGACTATCATTTGTCTTTTTTTTGTTGTTTTTTGTTTTTGTTTTTCGAGACACGGTTTCTCTGTGTAGCCCTAGCTGCCCTAGAACTCACTCTGTAGACCAAGCTGGCCTCGAACTCAGAAATCTGCCTGCCTCTGCCTCCCAAGTGCTGAGATTAAAGGCGTGCGCCACCACTGCCCGGCATCATTTGTCTTTTTAAATATTAAGATGTCATGATGGTCCTTATTTTTATTTTCACATAGAACTAGCCTATAAAGATTAGCCCTGACTTTTATTTATGTAGCCCTGGCAGCCCTGGAACTCACTCTGTAGACCAGCCTGCCTCTGCCTCCCAAGTGCTAGGATTAAAGGCATGCACCACCAATTTTTAATCACCCTGATTGTTTCTGTCATGTCATTTATTCTGAGGCGTGGATCGCAGAGGTTCCAGACCATTCTTGCTGTTGCTTGTGAAAAGGTAAAGCATAGGGGCAGGAAAGTGGCAGAGACCACTAGCTCCTGAGAGGCAGGAGGCAGGGCCCACTGTCTTCTAACATCACCTGTGTAGTTTTAACTTCCAACTTTACACCTTCAGCTTTTTCTACCTTACTTAAAACCAGACTGTTGCAGCTAACTGTTGGTCTACTTCTTATCTCTGACAGGTTTATTTAACTTATCTGAAATTTAACTACAAACTTGGTCCATGAAGACCTATCATCAGATTTTGAGTATTTACTTTCTCAGGGTAAAACTTCAGTCCACCCTTCAACTTGTCTTTTTTTCCTACTCTGTATCCCATCAGTCAGCATGTCTATTAAGGGCTATCCCAGAATACAATCTAAATTCAGCCACATGTCACCACTCTTGACAGTCAACACTGGTGGAGGTCGTCTCCTCTGATTAGGCTGGTGTCTAAAGAAGTCCTTTGAGATGTTACTTGAATTTCAACTTAGATGTCAAGAGGAAACTGATTTTATGCAGATGGAGAAAGCAGCACTATTTTGCTATCACCTTGCTTATGAAGTAACTGGTTAAGACTATCTGGAAAAAATAATTCCACCTCTCCTACCTCTTATTCTATATCTGTATCTCTATACATCTACAGCTATATTAAAGGTTCACACTTATTCTGAAAACGGCCAGAATATAAACATTTTCAAAAAATGTTTTAAAATTATGTATTTTATGTTTATGAGTGCTCTATTTGCATGTATGCTTCCATGACAGAAGAGGGCATCACACCCTATTATAGATGGTTGTGAGCCATGTGGTTGCTGGGAATTGTCCTCAGGACCTCTGGAAGAGTGGCCAGTGCTCTTTACCTCTGAGCCATCTCTCCAGCCCCATTTAAAAAAAAAATTTAATTGGGGTTGGAGAGATGGCTCAGTGGTTAACACTGGCTACTCTTCTAGAAGAGCCAGGTTTGATTTCTAGCACCCACATGGTGGCTAACAACTGACGGGAACTCTAGTCATAGATGATCAACGCTCTCTTCTGGCTTCCAAGGGCACAGCATTTACATAGTGCATTAACATACTACTTTCAGGCAAAACATTCACACACTATTTTTTTAATCTCAAAATTTTATTTTACTTGATGCACTGTGTGTGTGTGTGTCTATGTCAGTATACATATGTGGAGATCAGAATACAATGTGAGTCCTTTCTCCTTTCACTATGATAAGTTCCAGGGACTGAATTTAAGTTGTCAGACTTGCCCAACAAGCACTTTGACCTGCTGAGCCATTCCACTAGTCCTATACTATAACTACTTTAAGTTCTGCTGACCTCAAAGGTCTCTGTTTATACTATCAAAAATACAGACATGTCTGTGTTACAATAACACTTTGTTTCAAAAGCTGGTAGTGCACTGGACTGTTGAGATGGCTTAGTGGGGTCAAGAGCATGTGCTGCTCTTCCAGAGGACCCATGTCTACAGTTCCAGATGACCCAACTTCCTCCTCTGACCTCCTAGGGCACCAGGCACACACAAAGCGCACATACATATATGTAAACAAAACACTCATATACATATATAAATCTAAAAACAAAATAAAATGCTGGTGGAGTAAGAGATTTGATGAATGGACTGTATCTTGTCTCTGAAATAGAAAAATAAATCCCAAGGACTAGAAAGATGGCTTAATTAATTCTTAAAGTGCTTGCCATATAAACTTGATTAACTTGATCTTCAGAACCCACATTAAGTTGAAAGAACTGACTCCACAGAGTCAGTATCTAAGTCTTTTGAGATATCCTCTTTGTAATCTGTTATTTGTCCTTTTTATTTTTTTGAATTTTCAGATTCTTACATCCTTAGATTTCCTTACATACCCAGTTATACCTGTACCCCTTCTACACAAATAAAATAAAAATCTCCAAAGTAGAGAGAATAAATATGTGAATAAAACAAAACCTGAAATGACTTAGGGGGAAAAAAAATCTGTTCTTGGGGTAGAGAATTTAAAGTATTTAAGGAAAGGAGGCTGAAAAGATGGCTCAGGAGTTAAGAGCACATACTCCTGCCTGTCCCGGGTTGCACACCTTTAATCCTAGCACTCTGGCAGAGGTAGCTAGGTCTCTGAGTTCCAGGCTAGCTTGGTCTATAGAACAAGTTCCAGGACAGCCTGGACTACAGAGAAACCCTGTCTCAGGAAGAAAAAAAAAAAAAAAGCACATACTACACTTGTATCAGACTCAAGTTTGGATCCCACCACTCATGTAACTCTAGCTCCAGATCTGACACACTCTTCTAAACTCAGAGTGCCTACACACACAGACACACACACACACACACACACACACACACACACACACATAAACACACATATAAACACACACAGACACACACATATAAACACACACACACTTTCTGAGTATCCTGGAGTGAGTTGAAATTACTTCACATATTTGCTGCTCTTCTGTAGGTCCAGCAAATGAAGGCAGGGTCTTTTAAGAGCCCTTGAAAGTTGTGATCACTATACTGAAGAAGGCATTCCCCTTTCTGTTTGTGTCTTCTGGGTTTCAAAGCCATGATTAATTCCAGCTGGTTGGAAGCACTGTGCCAAGTGGCTAGGTGTGATAGCTTATGTTTTAGGAGCTATTATCTTGGCTTTCCAGTGTGGAACTGTGTCTACCAATAACATTTCAAAAGAGAAAGTTGGCAGCAGTTAAAAAAAAAAAAACAGCACAGATGAGAATAGAAAAAGCATGCATAAGGTAGGGTAATTGTTCTAACCACTCTTCGTTTGTTATCTCAGCCTGATGATTGATATTCTTGGATAACTGCATGGGAAGACACCTACTTAAATGATCATCAACACCAATTTTTGCAAGTAAAAACTAAGAAATAAATTAATACAAAAATGGGTAAACAGAAATGTAAGGAATTAAGTAGTTACAATAACTTCCAAGCACCCACATGGTGGCTCACAACAATCTTTAACTCCAGTTCTAGAGACTCAGATGCCCTCTTCTGGCCTCCTTGGGCAAAGGCACACACATGGTGTACATACTTACACAAGCAACACACCCATACACATAAAATACAATTCAAAAGGCAGTGCTAATTCCTATGGGACATTTCTGTGTGAAAGTAGAATAGAATGACAGAGATCTAAGAGAAGCTATTCTTAAAGATGAATGTGAATCTTGTCATTCCATCTGTTCCAGGGTATGTATACAGAAGAGACAGACAGGCCAGGCTGTGTTACATTCCTGTAATCCTTGTACTCAGAAGACTGAGACAGGATTGTTGTACTTTAAGATTAGTAATGACTACATATCAAAATACTGATTTGAAAATTCAAAAAAATAAAAAAGACAAAACTCATGATAGTAGATTACAAAGGCTTATCTCAAAAGACTTAGATGCAAAAGAAAAACTTAACACAATGGACAGGTAAACTGAGGAAACACTAAGGTAATTCTTACAATTGTTTCCATTTTGTTGTTGTGTGTAAGTGTTTTGCCTATATCTATACATGTGCATGCCTAGTGCCCAAGGAGGCCAGAAGGGTAAAGGATTCCCTGGACCTGGAGTTACAGATGGTTCTAAGCTGCCATGTAGGTTCTGGGAACCAAACCCAGGCCCTGTGTAAGAACAACATAAATTCTTAAGGACTGAGCCATCTCCAGCCCTCTTTTCCTGATTTTAGATTTACCATTTCAAATGAGATGTGATAAACCTCTATAAAGAATGAAAAATAAACTAATGAGGATCTTTATAAGACTGTCTTCAGAAGTCAGGTGTGTTGATACATGCCTATAATCCAAATACTAAATTAGAGGAAGACAGTCCATAAGGCTCCCTGATCTCATCAGTAAATGCTAAAGCCAGGACTACAAAGCCAGACTGTCTCTACTCCCAACCCCCCAAAAAGGTTGTTTCTAACTTCTCTTGCCACATTCAGTCTCCAGAACTCATCTAGAATAATCCTTTTTTTTCTTGAGTACATTTATTTATTTTGTGGGAGTGGATGTACCACAGCATATGTGTGGAGGTCAGAGGACAACTTAATGGAATTACTCTTTCCCTCCACCACTGTGGGTCCTGGGGCTCAAACTCTGATGGTTAGGATCCACAGCAAGGGTCTTTACCTGTTGAGCCATCTGGCTCTAGAATGAGCTTTCTAAGCAAATAATCAGATCACTCTTTTTTATTGTAAGGTCACCTCTCTTCAAAAGTTTTATAATATATTCTGAGTTTGGAATAAAACTCTTGATAATGTGGCGTTTGCCCACCTGCCTCTCTATGCCTCAGTCAGAGCAGCTGCCTTGCCTTCCTAAAGGGCACCAGCTCCTTATTCCTGGTACCTCCAGTGTCTTTCCTGACCTCTCTAAAGTTACATCCTACTAACTTTGTTTCAAGGCTACATACTGAGTTCTTCCACTAACATCCAACCAAAATAGGTTTTTCTTCATAAATTACTCTTTCATATCATTCAGTTTGTAAGTATATACACACATTTTTTGGCCTATTTCTTGTCTTACAGCATCAATGAGCTTCATAGGTACAGAGACTATGTCCATATGACTGTTCCGTGACACCCTAAGACAGTGTCTGGCAGACTGGACACTTGATAGTGTGTGTTAAATAAACAGACAAGTCTATTGTGCAACTTGAAATTAGTCCCATACTTAGAATGCATTTTCCCCCTTAAAAAATAAGTACCCCAACACTGTCAAACTAGATACAGGTAATAATTCCAGAGATATTAAGATACTTTACTGTACCAGTTTCATTCATTTCTCATCTAGCATCAACAGACAGTTTCAGTCCTATGAGGCCTTTAGGAATCACCTGATTCTCAGCTGGGAAAAAAGTGGGTTAACTGGCTGTTTCAAGTTACAGGGTTTATGAAAAAGCTATCATGTGAATACAAGTCTGATTTAGTGTTATGGTTTTTTTTTAAAAAAAAAAAAAAGTCTTCTCTGAAGCACCACCTCCATCTAAAGAGACTTGATCAATTTGTGTATGTATATTTAATGAAATACAACAACCCTTTCAGGATCAAAATCACCTTGCCTCTACTTTAAAACTAAGCTTTTACAACTGAACATCAGAAAATATCAGAAATCTAAGTAGATCATTTATAACAGCAACAACGGTTCCAATAATTAGTAAAGTTGCTAAATCATCAAAAGCAGTAGTCTTCCGAATACGGAACTTCAGTAGTAAGAAATTTTATTTTAGGAATAACAGTGGGCCCCCTTCCGCCCTCCACCCCCGTCCCCAAAAGAGGAAACTAGAAAATAGCGCTAGTTGAAGAAATAAGTTTCACGTGAGTTTAGTTAGGCATAAGTCCCCCAATATTCGGAAAAGTCAAGACTTCCTATAAGTAAAGGGATTTCCTTGATCTTGAACCACAGTGCGCGCGTGCACACAGACAACACACACACATAAACCTCTGGAAAACAAACACACCAGAAAAACCTGTCTTTAGCAAACAGGTGTTAATTTCTACGGGTTTAAGCAAGCACTTTCGGCCCAAAGCGACAATCCCGCTCGACCTCGCTTGAGGAGGCCACTTTCTCCCCTGCGGAGTCCGGGGCAGCACAACCCACCGCGGGTGTCGGCGCGGAGGCCGAGCGGCTCACCGAGAGCCTCGCGGCTGCCCTGACAAAACCCTTGCAGGTTTGCCGCCCCACCGCTGTCCGAGGCCCGGCTCGCCCCCCGCCCGCGACCCCTCCGCTACCTTTCCGCCGGAAGAAGGACATGGCGGGGCCCGGGTCGGGGCGGAGGGTGCGGGGGGAGTGTCGCGGGGAGGGCCCGGCTCCCCTCATTCAGCAGCTGGCTGGGACTTCCGGGTCCGCAGGAGCCGCTGCACTAGTCCGAAAACAGCCCCTCCTTCCGGGTGTGGGCGCTGCCGCCTCCTCGGGATGCCCCGGCAGCTGCTGCCGCCATGTTATCAACAAGCCACCCGCTTAGAGTTCCGGTCCGTCCGCGCGCGGGGCTTCACGGGAGGCCCCGGCCCCGCCCCCTTCTGCGCACCTCCTCCCGCGGGGCTGGAGCGCGCGCCCGCCCAGCCCACGTGACCCGGCGTCCTCGAGTCTGTGAGCCCTTCCTGCTGGAGGCTCCGGGTGTCTCTTTGGTGAGCCTCTTCTTCGGAAAGCTGGGGCCAACACTGACACACAGGCTTTTCGCGGAATCTTGCTAAATGCCCCAGGCTGATTGGCAGCTTTGCCCTGCCAGGTTCCCGAGGGATGCAGGGGAGCCAGCAGGACGAGGAATCTGCTCTTTTATAGCTCCTGAAGCTTCGTCCCTCAAAGTGACCTCGGAAGGGAGAAAAAGAGTAGTAGGCTTATTTTCATATCAAATCCCTACAGATGCTCAAAACAGAAGGAGCCAGCAGCCTGATCCTCGACAGGGAACCGTTTTTTCCGTTCTTATTCGAATGCCATCTTCCTATAGATCTTCTGGCTTCCTTAAAGCTTACCCACCTTTAGCGCCCTGGATGGTATTATCACTATAGCTGATGCTCCTGTCAAAAGCGAACCAAGAACTCATGACGCACACAATTGCTGATTTTTTTGGTGGATCAGTGAAGTCTACATGAGACAGAAGGAGAAACAAGTCCAACTTGCCTGGTTATTCGGTGTTAAAACAGGAACTAAAGTCTGGAGTCTTAGCCACATTTTTAGAGCGGGTTAATAAGTTTGCTACCTTTGTTTCCAGACTTATTTGTTAAAGCATGAAAAACCACCAAAGCTAAATTTCTTTAAAACAAACAAACAAACAGTATGCACAGATACCATACTAAACCCTCCAGGTTAGTAACAGTTCTTAAACTTGCAGTTGGCATGGAGGAAACTACGTAAATTTCGTTTGCCCAAGGTCATAGCTAACTAGAAGTGAAGCCCTGGTTTCAAGGTCAAACTCTTCCAAGTAAAAAACCATTTCTAGGAACACTGAGCAGGAGCAGGAAAGGAGAGCGGGGCTGTGGTTGTCCCATGGGAGGTAATGGGGAGGAGAGTCGGGGGTGCAGAGATCTGAGGTGCACTTGGAAGTGAATATTATACTCTGGGAGAACGCCTAACCCTATTCACACCCTCCCTGCCCACCCTTGAACACCTTTCCTTGCCTAATAATATTAGGGCAAGCCAGGCACAGTGTTCTGGAGATGAAAGACTTTAATGCACTTGGAAGGCAGAAACAAGTAGATCAGTGAGTTCCAGGCCAGCTTGATTTACTTAGGGAATTTTAGGCCATGGTGAGACCTTGTCTCAAAAAGATAAAAACAAAACAATGCCCTGGAGGAATGGCTTAGCAATTAAGAGCACAGACAACACTTAAAAGGGTCCACAGCATCTACTCTGTTCTTAGGGAGAATGGGTGGTGTTTATATTATTCCTTTCCCTTTCCCTTCTGGAGTTTCAATCTTGGCAAAGACTGTTTTGTATTTGTTAACTATTGGTTAACTACTGGTTAGTTCATCAGGGCAGGAGGAACACCAGAAGGATGAGTGAGAAAAATCCCTTGAATGAGTGAAATGCCAATGGGGTTGAAGGGAGGGCTCTGGTTCCATTAGGACTTCTTGAATCCTTATTCATTCTCTCAGGCTAAATAAACATAGATCAGTGTTGAGGAAGTATTTCAATTCAATTTCCAATGCAGTTGGTTCTTTGAGTCCCCCCCCTACAAGAAATTCTGGAGTTGCTTTTATTCTCTGTAAGAAATAGATTGTTACAATTGATTTATAGATAAGCAGAAGGCAATAGGCCCCTAGCTAGTAGATTGTGCTGGCTTGTCTCAGAACTCTAAAAAAGTTACAAGTAGTCTGCCTTACTGCTCATGGTCAGGAAAGGGGGTGGGGAAGTGCTATCTCAAGTCCCAAACTGTTAGATAAGGCTTTGTGTCCTAAACCAGTAACGTGGGAAATTTGGGAAGAGGGCAAGTCCCAGCCAACGGAGACAAGGATAGGGAATTAGATGGAACTTAAAACCCCTTCAGATTAGGGGCCTTAAAAATCACTGCCTTGTACCAAAACATTGCACCAGAAATTTTTGCCTTTTCTTTTTGCCGGCATCAGCATCCCTTTCTGCAGAATTGTATATTTTAAAACTCTTTCATTTTGTTAGTTCCTTGAATAAATGCTATTATTTCCACTGTCTCTCAGACAGCTAGACATAGCAGTGAGCTAATCATAATCATTATTTACTAAGAACTTGTGATGTACTCGCTATGTTCCTAGCACTTTACAATTAAGACTTCACTTAATCCTTCACACATACACCTCACCACCACTCCACAAGAGACCCTGCCATCATTATGTCTTGTTGATAGAGGATGCTCTGGATTTCTTTGTAATGACCTGGGAACTCAATGGTAATAAGAGAAAGAGGAAGGAAGAAAGGAAGGAAGGAAGGAGGGAGGGAAAGAAGGAAGGAAGGAAGGAAGGAAGGAAGGAAGGAAGGAAGGAAGGAAGGAAGGAAAGAAGGAAGGAAAGGTTGTTGATGAAGCTGTAACTCCCACTTCAGGAAGTCTTACTGTAGATATAACCACTCCAGGCAACTTGCACCTGCTTTGGAAGACCCCACTCTGGGCAAGATATGCTCAGAACTGTAGAACTCAAAAGCAGTAGATGAGGAAAGACACCTGATACCCTGTTCTGGCCTCTGCAGGCACACACACACACACACACACACACACACACACACACACACAGAGGCATGTATACCCCCACATACAAGTCCATTTGTAGGTGACCAAACAAATTAGTTAAAAATAAAGTTAAGCCGGGCAGTGGTGGCGCACGCCTTTAATCCCAGCCCTTGGGAGGTAGAGGCAGGCGGATTTCTGAGTTCGAGGCCAGCCTGGTCTACAGAGTGAGTTCCAGGATAGCCGGGGCTATACAGAGAAACCCTGTCTCGGAAAACAAAAAACAAAAAACAAACAAAAAAAAAAACAGAAAAAAAAATAAAGTTAAAACTTAAAGGTAGGATAACTCCCAAGATAGTTCTGTCAACATTTACTCTGTTGTGTCACATGACAGTTATGCACTCTTGATCCTGAACAGAAAAACATGATGCACTTAGGAATTCTAGTACTTTCCCATTATAGATCACCAATAAATGATGCCTGAAACCCCTTAGATTGGAGTTAAGACTACTGTATATTATGAATTGCAGTGTCCTTTGTTGTACTTATCAAGTTTTCTGATGCTATAGAAACACAATGTTCTCACTGTGGAAAACAAAATGTTAATATTTCCTACCACCATGCCACAGCATGGAAATATCAAATTAGTGTATCTTTGGATTTTGATGTGTTAGAACATTTGATTTTCAAATTTGCTGTTTGATTTTCTACCTTGAGTTTCATTTTAAAAAGTCATTAAATTTTGCTTGAGATAAGGCCAGAGAAAATCCCAAAAATTCTGAAATGGCCCCAAACAGTGTACTATGCACTTAGGCAAAGCAGCAATGTCAAAAGTAACAATTACAAAATCAAAATATCATTCAATTCTGACAGACATTGATGATGCTTTTTGTCTTACAGTATTAAACATTTAGCCAAGATTTAATTCTTTGTGTAAAAATAAACAAACACACCCATCTCCTTTGTGTGCCAGTTTGCTTTCATTTTAAATAAATGGTAAAATTCTACTTCTGTCAAATAATTGTTTTCAAATAGATTTCTCTATGGTTTGTTATCAGTAAATGTTTTATTTGCTATTTTATATTGCTACATATTTAGAATTGTGCAAACATTTCTTGGGCAAAAAAAAATATTTCTTGATTAAGTTTGATCGTATTTGATTGGACAAAACAATGCCCAAGGGATTATTAGTAGAACACACCTCAGGGCATGTCTGTGAGAGTGCTTCCAGAGACACAGTATGACAGCTTTGACTTAACAGGTTAATTCCTTGATGGACTTATCATTTTATGAATTTCTTTTAGTGGTAGTAAAAGGAAGGAGGTAGGGTGTTAGAGGAAGTAGGTCCCTGAGGTCCTGTCTTTGGGGGCTGTATCAGGCCTGGCTTCCTGCATTCTCATGTTTGCTGCCTGTTTGCCATTGAGGAAGTTCTCCCACAGACCTTGAAGTTCTGTGCAAGGACATGAGGCAAAGAAAACAAGAAAACACAGGCTGAAAAAACAAACCAAAACAAACCAAAACAAAACCAAAAAGCCCTCCTCCCTTGAGTTGTTCTTTTCAATGCTTTGGTTACAATGAGACCAAAGTGGCTACGCATCTATCTGATACCATGCTTGCTCATGTCAACATGCTTGGGATACTTGATATTGTTCACTGAATCCAATATCATCCCAATATAAAAGTCCAATGGGATGTTGTTCTTAAGAAATGTCTAACCACAAATTACTGTCCAGAAAAGGACACACTTGCGGAATAGTCGACTGATTATATCGGCCAAGACAGAGTAGTCAGCCCTTAATAATTCTGCATCACTAGGTCTGTCAGATGATCCTGGGCCAGAAGGCTGAAGATCAGATGCTCCAATGTTTTGTAGTATCGGGACTGTCCAGGTGTTCAGAGGTCTCTATAAATTGGCTAAGTTTTAGAAGCTATGCTTTGTGCTTCCCATAATTACAGTTAATTCAGTCATTCTGGATTTCCAACGGGGTTGAAGACTTATAGTCTCATAGCCAATCCCGGCTACTTACTTTTAGAGAAAAGATTTTTTTTTTTGTTTTTTTTGTTTTTTCGAGACAGGATTTCTCTGTGTAGCCCTGGCTGTCCTGAAACTCACTCTGTAGACCAGGCTGGCCTCGGACTCAGAAATCCGCCTGCCTCTGCCTCCCAAGTGCTGGGATTAAAGGCGTGCGCCACCACCGCCCGGCTAGAGAAAAGATTTGAGAGGATGATTTTCAGCTGACATTCATTCTAAAGCCAAGAAAAAAGCCAGGTTCAGAACTTAGTCTTTTGGTTAGGAGAGATGACAGAGGTTCTGGTTAGTCAACAAAATGATGGTCTGGGTATTAGGTCTATCTTGTATCTTACTG